GGTTAGCTAAGTTAGGTTAGGTTAACTTTACTAACCAAACTTGATATATTGAATGAAATAATCGATTTATCGATTAATATATTTATTCAAATTTTAGTGTAGGACGTAAGGCCTGAAGTGCAGTTTAATTTTAAAATAGATATATTTAAAATATCGATTATTAATCAATATTTTCAATTTGATAGTTTCAATTGATATTAGCGAAGCCCAGGAAACTGTACCCCCAATTTATTTTATAGGCTACCAGAAACTAATTTGAATTTGCTTGAAACGTTAATATTCTAATGACCATGTGTCCATGTCAATAAGTTACACCTTTCAATAAGAATAAGAATAAGAAAGTTTATTACCGTTGACCAGGTTGTATACAGGAATAGGCATTGTCAAATTACATTAAATTACATTAAACAGAATATCAACATCAACAAGTATGTTATATCTATAGCTAACAAAGATTGTGAATTCCTAACTTACAGTGTGAATGATTCCATTGTAATTTTATGTTTCAAAATGTCCTTGACTGAATAGAACGGATTTGCTACAAGCCAGTTATGAATTTTGGATTTGAAAAGAGAAAGAGAAAGGCTGTCTGCCTGAAGAGGCTCAGGCAGCTTATTATAAAATTACACACAGTTGAGTTTGAAAGAATTACCTGTGATGGCTAGCCTGTGATGTGGTATATCCAGTTGTTCCTTACTTCGTGTATGGTGAGAATGGTAATTCTGCCTGGTGGAAAACTCATTGAGATTAGCTCTAGTGTATATAAGTACATTGTAGATGTATTTAAGTTAATGATTGTGCAAATGTTTAGTTTGATAAAAAGTGGTTTGCAGTGCTCTGCAGGGTCAGCCCCTAACATTGTGCGAATGACTTCTTTTTGTATTAGTAGAAGCTCATGGACAAGGGGGGAATGGCCCCAAAGTTGGATTCCATATTGAATATGGGATTGAAACAGCCCAAAATAGGCTAGTTTGAGATATTGAATATCGACAAAAGGCTTGAGTTTCCAGAATAAACATGAAACTCTCGATAGTTTTTTGCTGAAGAAGTTTTTACTGAGTGGTCTGGTTGTTTAATAGAGAGTGAGAAATCAATTTTCTGGGTCTTGGATTGTTTACAGATCAATTTATTTGCAGAAAACCAGTTTAAAACACTCTTTTCTGCTTTAGAAAGAGCTTCTGAGAGCTTTGTTTGGACTTTATCAGAAGTAAAAATTGTGGTATCGTCTGCGTAAATTACACATTCGATAGGAGTGTTACATGGAAGATCATTTACTGCGATTATAAAAAGGAAAGGGCCTAGGACCGAGCCCTGCGGAACTCCTGCTTTAATTGTGGTCAATGTAGAGTGTTTACCCTCCACACTAACATATTGCTTCCTATTAGTCAGATATGATTCAAGCATTTCTATTGTGTTTTTGCTAAGTCCATAGAATTTGAGTTTAGCCAGCAAGATGTCAAACGGGATGCAGTCGAAAGCTTTTGTTAAATCAAAAAGTAGCATGGAAACAGTATTTTTATTTTCAAAAGCATTAATAATATAATTGGAAATGTGAGAGACTGCCATCATAGTTGATCTGCCAGCTCTAAACCCAAATTGAGAATCAGTCATCAAGTTATTAGAGTCAAAAAAGTTATTTAACTGTTTTAACATGAGAGCTTCGAAAACCTTGGATAAGATTGGTACTATCAAGATTGGGGGCGATAGTTTTGACATAGATTCTTGTCACCCTTTTTATAAATTGGAGTTACTTTTGAGACTTTAAGTTGGTCAAGAAAATAGCCATTACGGAGACAACAAACTATTAAATACAGTGGAGAGGGGTGTAGATATGTAGTGTATAATATTCTTGATTATGTAGTTTGAAAGCCAAAAGTGATCCGTAGATTTAGAATTTGAAAATTTTGAGACTGTTTTTGTTACCTCATTTGGTGTAATAGGTATCCATTCAAATTTAGAGACGTCCAATTTTTTTGTAGATTCCAGTAGTTCTCTTGGTGTGTCTTGAGTCTGGCCCACTTGATTGGACAGTTCCTCAAATGAATCTGTAAAGTATGTGTTTAATTTGTTAGGGTCAAGAGTAACAAGAGATGTGCGTGTGGTTGTATTTTCCTGTGTTATTATGTCCCAGGCGGCCTTGCATTTGTTCTTTGAATTGTTAATGTATTTTGCACAGGCTAATTTTTTAGCAAGGTTTAAATCCTTCCTGTACTGTTTTTTAAGCTATTGTAGATATTATAAGCTGCCTGAGCCTTTACAGAATCAATTTTAAAAAAATGTTTGTACAAAGAATTATAAGCCATCATGGTTTCCTTACTTTTTTTTAAACTATCACTATAATAGGTGATTTTATTTTTCACTAGATTCTAGTCTTATTATCTGATCTAAGCTTTTTCTTAACAGGTGGAGAACAATAGTACCAGAGGTTAACAAACCTATCAAAAAAACTATCAAACAATGTTACTGGGCTACTCTCATTTTCTGTAATGTCTTCCCATGACTCGCTCTGCAGTACCTCACGGAAAACATTGAGATTTTGTTTATTTTGTTTCCTAACAAGAACACTAGGCTGCTCAATAGATAGGCCTACATTTTGTGAGCTTTTGCAGGCAGGTCTATGGTATTTAAAAAGCAGTGGATCATGATCGGCCAAAGCGCCTTGCAAAATTGAAACTTTGTAAAAATCTTGAGAAAAATTGAAAATATATTATCTAAACAGGCATCGTTTCTTGTAGGGAATTTATTAATACATTTTAGGTCAAGTGATCGTAGTAGGTTCGTGAAATTAATTGAGATTTGTTCCTCCATCTTGGCCATTTCAATGTTAAAGTCCCCACAGACTATGGGCACTTATTGTGACTATCATTATTGTGGTTCTGGCACTTCAACATGAAAGGAAGAGTAGCCCTCGTATTTAGTCCTAATTTGGGTACACTTGAACAATGGACATTGAGGAAAATAGAATCAGACGAACAAAGGATAGGAATATAGTTACAATCAGTGAGGTCAAACAGTTTAAAATTACGGGACCAAAGAGGAAACATGGTAGCAATTATGATACACTTCCATATGGGTTTAAATAAAAGTCAAAAAACTCACCAAAATCTCAACTCCTGAATCACTATCACTATTACTCCAGTCCTCCCAGTCCCCAATATCCACCTCATTCCACCCATTTTGTGATGACAAAAATGGTTCTTTAAACTGTAGTAGTTGTAACTTAGGCCTAAATTGAAAATACACACCTAAAATACAAATTTGTATGACAATTGAAATTGACAAACAATAAATTCTCCAAAATGCAACCTCAAACTCGAGCTAGAGCAGATCTAGAAGAGAAGAAGAAGAAGAAACGCAGAACAGAACAAAAAACGAGACGAAGGAAGGCTGAAATTTAAATTTGGGTGGAGTAGAGGTAATTCAAAGAAGTCGCGGGAATTTTCAGAAGTGTAGAGGGTAAGCGACCGCACCACGAAACACGTGACCACGGCGAAGACACGCCCTTCCCCCAGAAGGGAGGGGCCGGGACCTAGCTGACCGATTTGAGTTGTCGGTACCAACTTGATATGTGATTTAAGTGAAATGGTACCTAGGTGAAAGGTTGCCTAAAAGAAGGCCTCCCAAATAGAGCACCATTTAGTTAAACATGGTTTTATCTATGGTTAAACTATGGTTTTGTCAGATTGTGATGTGGAAAGCGAATAGGGACCTCTTGTATGGAATTTTAGATTTTGAGATATATATATTTGAATTCCTTACTAAATTCCGAATCACGATTTTTTTTGTTAAAGTTATAGGACTTTGAAATTTTGTTATTGAAAGGGGTCATTTTGGGAAAAACCCTTTTGAAAATTTCAAATGCGCATAAAAACAGTTTTTTTCATATTTAAGAAACGATCTTGGTATCAAAAGAAAGCTTATAAAATGTTCCACTTTGAAATCAAACCCGATTTTTGTCTTAACTCTCGGTAGTTTTCATTTAAATAATTGTTTTATTGAAGTATGTAGTAATAATCACATTTCAGAAAAGGACCTCTTGTCGGCGTTTTGCAATTTCTTTCTCAACCATTTTGTAGAGCTTAAAAAAAGAAATAATTTAGTATATTGAAGCGCTGTTTTATGTCTAACGGTCATGGAGAAATTTCAAAAAAAGTGTAATTAAAATTCCCATGTTAATCTTATGGAGAAAATGAAAATTGTTGTAGTTTACTTGTTTATGGATATATGTTGATAAAATTTGGCAAATTTATTTATTTCATTCTATACTATTAAATTAACATATGGTCAACACTTTTTACCTTCCCCGTAGCAGCAAGCATAAGCACTGGTTAAATCTAATGTTATTTAAATTGGGAATAAATATGTCTTATTTATGGAAATATTTTTAGTAAAAATGTAATCAGACAAGTTGAAATTCGCTTAGTCTGCAGGTTTGCTGCGGCGGGGGTATTTTAGACTTGGTAAAACCATTGCAGTATTTTGCATCTTTTTTCTTTTGTATACATTCCATCAGGCTTATATTGTAATATAAAAAGACACAATTTGCTTAGCTAGTCTAATAGTTGCGTAATTACCAACAGGGCCGAACAGGGTTACTTTTCAAACGTGGAACCCTCACGTTTGACCACAGGTTGCACAAGTGGTTTTGAAACTGAGTTTTGATATTGAAGAAAAAGTTGCTATTCTACTTTTGGAGTGTGTTTGCAAGTTCCCGCTCATTATTTCTGATTAAGTATGGTTTGATACAGCGACGTGTTTAAAATCACTTATTCACCCCTAAAAGCTAATCAGACACAAAAATGTTATTTATAGCTTTGCAAATATATTTAAACATATAAGTAGTGTCTACTTTTTTTACTCGCAACTCTTTGGTGAAGTTCTCAACCAATAACAAATTGACACAAAGAAATCAACGAAATATAGAAGGCATTGATTGGATTTTATCTACTGCAGTGTAAACACATGGCTCTACGTGGTCCTTTATTGTGGTGAATGGTGAATGTGAACGTTAATCTTATTATCTTGTTGCCCTGCCACAGTTTAGTTATTGATACAGTTCGAATAATGTTATTCGGGCAATAAGATAACAGTCTTCTGTAAAACTATAATTTGAGTTAATTTTTGTAAGTATTTTAACTCATAATATAGACGTTTATGAGAGTGCAAATATTCAAAAGTCAAATGCCGTTCTGTTGCAGACGGCTTTTTAAAAAAGATTGGGTTAGTCCATTTTGACAAGTGTGCTAGCAATATAGTAAGTTATACGATAAAATCTTTAAAGCGTGTTTTCTTCTAACATAAAAATAATATAAGTAAGTTAAGTAACTTAATTTGAGTTCAACCTAAAGTTTCACTATCACAGACTTGTAAGTTCAGGCCTAGGCTTACCCAAATTACAATGTAGGCCCAGGCATTCATAGGTCATCCATATTAGGCTATGTAGGGCCTACTGTATGCCATATCTTAGGCTAGGCCTATGTATTTTTTTGTAAAATGGTAGGCCTCGTTGCCATTGAAATAAATAAATAACTTAGGCCTAGGCCTAAGTTACGAAAATAAGTAAGTTAGGCCTAACTTAAGTTAGCCTGTGCCCAACTTAGGATTTTCAATGCTCTGATTTAAAAGGGTTGGGGCCTTACCTAATACCTACGTCAAGATTAATTTGTGCTGGATACAATATTTTAGTTTTTATCATATAATTTAGCACTTGTCATCCTACACTAGGCCTAGATACCATTGAAATGTAGGGATGAGCATCCATGGGTCAACCATCGCTGTAACTTACCCTTACTAACTAGCTTAACCGAATGAAATAATCAATATATCGAATAATCGATGTATCGAATAATCTATAGCCTACATTTATATCGAATATAGGCCTATCGATATTTTTCATTAGAATGAGTGTAGGACGTAAACTATAGTGCAGCCTTATACTGTTGCAAAAACATCATTAACAAGTTATTTATTGGGCCAGACTGGCAATAACTTGCATAGCCAAGTTGCCATAAGTTATCCCCAGATTTCCCTGTAGATTATTGGATTCTATTAAGTATGGAAATCTGGTGTTAGGCCTAGCTGACTATTTACATGTAAGTTAATAAGTTACCAAAAACTTAACTGATAAAGGTTAGGCAATTTCGGGACTCTTGTGCAAGTGACTTTGTTTGAAATCTTTGTTCACTTTAGTGGTCAACTATAACTTAGTGATCTTTTTGAGCGATAAAGTTCATCTATATGCAACAAAGTGCAAGTTTAGAATCTTATCTTTCAAACGGTATAAATACAGTAATATTTTTTTTGCTTGGGGAAAATTCCCAAAAAAGAAAATAGGCTAGTGGATATCTAGTAGCTAAGGCAAGGCGTTTTTGGAAAATATGTTTACTTAACCTGATTGTTGTTTTATTTCCATCCATCAAATCCATTCCTACATTTTTTGGTACAGTGCCACAAAATTGTTTTATTATTGTTTTTAAATCGTTGTTTTATTTGTAAGATGTTATGTCTTACGGGACACCCTTTAGGCCTAGACTTCCAAGCCTACTTAAGCAGTGTAGGCCTTTGTAACTTTTGAGATTTTAGGGAAAAGCATACCTACTTAAAAGGTGTGGTTAGGTATACTTTTAGTTATTTATAACGTGGATAACATTAAAAGATTCATACAAACTTAATTTAAGAAACAAATTTGGGAAAATCGCAGATTAAGAAATCACTTATCCATTGAAACAGAGTTAGGTATTATTTTATAGACTAAATTATAGAAAGCTTAAACGTAATTTATCTTGTTATTTTTTTGTTATCTTTTCATAAGTTACTGCTCATGTGCTTAAAACACATATATTTTGTAAATGATGTACGGTATCCGTTGATATGAATAAATAAATAAAAGCTGATAATTAGTAAACCATAAGAAAATATAGAACAGCACTTATCACGGATAGTTATTAAAATGTAAACTTGTTTTCAATTGTGTTTTTTTTGCCAACACGTAAAGTCCATGTTTTTAGCCTTACTAAATTTTCATGTTAATCTTGCAAATATTTAGCCTATATAGGCCTAGCTCAGAACAATTTAAAGATTTAAAACTGGTCTTTTGATCTGTTAAAATTACATTAGGGCCTATGTTGTCTTTTAAGAACTTTGAAGATATGGTGCTTTTAATTTTCAAAGAATCTTTTGCAATTAATTTCAGAATGATGAAGATTGTCGTGGGATTGACACTACTATGTCTGGCTGGACTTTGCCAGCAAGGAGTCAAAGGAGTAGCCGTGATGAGTGTGGACCTAGGCACGGAATGGATGAAAGTGGCCATTGTATCTGTAAGTTTTAACTTTTACTTTGGTACCAATTTTTTACCCAACATATAAATCGTAACCTTTTCATATTTTCTTTTGTCCTTGGACGCTAGGCTTTAGCCTGGGATAATTTGTCACATTACTTCATGCTAGGCCTAGGGATTGTGGCATTATCACTCGATTGGTGAGATTTGAACATGGGACTTCAGGGATGAAAGTCCTGTGGTGTAGGTACCAGGATGACATCATAATTTAAAGTAGGCCTACCTACCATTTTAACTTGGGAATGGAATGCTCCAGTTAAGGATTTTAGGATTTTAAGTGCAGTCTGTTGAGGTTTGTCTGGGAACCCAAACAAAAAGAGAATTTATTGTTTCAAGTATTCTCTTTTAAGTGGTACACAGTAGGCTATTAATATAAAGGCAGAGCTTTTTTACCTGCGATATTATCACGATCAGCAGAAAGTGACTGTAAAGATGGTGCAAATTAAATTTATTGATTTTGCGACTAATTTTTATTTATTACTCATTATTATTAAATTTGGATTATTGTTTTTAAATTGGCTGGTTTATCCGGCTAGGGACTCAGTCCCCTGGTGGCAGTAGCAGGGGTTCTACTGCAGCCTACTGTAGATTAAAAATATCCACTAAAATAATTAAAATTAAGTCTCCTTTTGTTTATATTTTAAGAGAAGGGTTTTTCATTTGGTTTCACTTTCTAGTTTAGCAATGCACTAGTTTAGCAATGCAATGTATATGATTGAATTTTATGGCAATTTTCTGATTCGGATTAGGTAGGCCCACACTTTAAAAATGTTTATTTTTGTTCCTTTAATTTGCTGATATAAATTAGTTAAAGGCTTGTGCCTTTTCACTTTTTTGTAAAATGTAGTCTATTTTTTTTATTCCTGCAATAAAATTTTTATTTTATAACTTAAGTAGGTACTAGTAGTAACCGTGGGAGGACTTGAGTGTAAGTGAGAACATTTTTTCCCTCTACAAGATGATATTGATATTGATTAAATATCAAAAGTCCATTATTGTATTGGTTTACTTTATGCCTTGTTGACAACATTTTATGTGTTTGTGCCAAACAGTATTGTAGCGACATTGAATATTTGATGATGGATTATACCAGGTATTGATTTGATTGGTTTATATTCTACATAATAATTATACTGTAAAAACATATCCTAATAACATTAAAACTAATTAAAATTGATTTCTTATTAGGTCCAGTGTTATCATAGGCCTAAGGCGTTACATGAACGGTCAAACGTTCGTCTTTATTTGTTAAGTAATAGTTAATTATTGTTTGTATTTTTTTTTTATTTGAGTTTTTAGTGTGATGACTCGAATCAAAAGTTGTCTTGAAAAATCTAAAATAAAATAGGCCCTATGCACCAGATTGTTTTTAAATGGCACTCATATTCCTTGTCAAGCGAACCCATGTAATTAACTTTTGTTACCAGTGTTGGGCGTGTTTCAATATGTTTATTTGTTTTAATTAAGATAGCCTATATTTTATGATCCAAGTACAATACTAAGTTAAATCTTCAAATTTCTATCTTACAGCCTGGTGTGCCAATGGAAATAGCATTGAACAAGGAATCCAAGCGAAAGACTCCTGTCGTCGTGTCATTTAGAGATGGCGAACGGACTTTTGGTGAAGACGCACAAACTGTTGGAATCCGATTCCCGCAGAACAGTTACACCTACTTGTTGGATTTGGTTGGCAAAACTGTTGATAATCCTATGGTGAAGTTGTTCCAGAAACGCTTCCCTTACTACAACATTGTTCCTGACCCTGTAAGAGGAACTGTAGTTTTTCAGCATGACAGGTTGGTTTATTATGCAATCTGATGATTATAAGTACTTGAATCAAATGAGCAAAACAGTAATATCACTGTTAAGTGTGAAAGTAACAAAAAACTCTGTTCTTTCCAATAATCTTCAAACTGCAGAAGTCAAGTAATAAAGTTTTTTTTTGCTTGGAAATTTTTCAACATTTTTAGTTTTTAGCTGTCACCAAAATCGGGTAGCATCATTATTTTTACAAAATTTAGTCAAAAGTTTGCAAACAGTTTTTTTTTAGAATAAAAATATTTGTAGATTTTACATTTTAGCAGACAGGAGGGACTCTTAAAAAATAAAATTTTTTTGTATGATCTAACTAAAAATAAATTCACCTTCAACATATTTATTTCAGCGAAACCACTTATAGTGTGGAAGAATTGATAGCCATGATTTTCCACAAAGCCCGTCATTTTGCTCAAACTTCAGCAAATCAGGCTATCAACGAGGCAGTGTTAACAGTCCCAGGGTATTTCAACCAGGCTGAGAGAAGAGCTATCTTACAAGCAGCTCAGCTAGCGGACCTTAAAGTGTTGCAACTCATAAATGACTACACAGCAGGTGAGCTAAATCTATCAAACAGATAATTTCTTGTGGAATTTATAGAATTATGGGTCGACCTATTAGGTGTGAATAGTCTGACGTTGATTTAGGTCAAACTCAAAGCCACCACCTTTTTCGGTGCTCTAACCGTGTCAAGTGTGAATACAGTCTAATTATGTCTTTTAAATTTATCATAAGCTTTTGGTTCACATAGATAATTTGTCCAAACATAGTAGTGCGTTTTAATGTCTCAAGTATATTAGGTACCAAAATTTTAGCCATACCTTTAAACAATTTTGCTTAGACAATCAACTATGTTTTTTATTGTTTTGCATCAAGTTAAGTCTGAGCCTTCACAGCTTGGTTATAGCTCTCACCCAGGTGAAATAGTTATTTGTGCAACTAGTGAGAAAAGTGAGCAATTGACTCACTCGAGAGAAATCCTTACTCACGAGCCGTAGGCGAGTGAGGAATGGTTTCTCGAGTGAGGCAATTGTACTTTGAACTCAAGTTGCACATTATACTTTTCCTACAGTTACCATAAAACAAATAAATTGGTGAAGAAACATATCCTATTTTTACACAGAAGTGAACTTTTAATACAACATTTAATGTGAAGTGACAAATGCAACAGTGCAACAGCTGACCAGCTGATTTACAGCCAGTGCTGCCAACGTATTTCGCGCGCATACGACGTTGCCTGCATGTTACGTGCTCACTATTTCGTGCCTTCACGTTGCAAATCTGGAGTGAGACAAAGTAATTAGAGTGAGACAATGTTAACATTGTCTCACTGATGAGCGAATTGGCCACTTTGCTTTCTCAAATCAGTGAGAGAACATGTACATTGTTAGGTAACTGTAGGAAAAATGTGTTTCATACCCATAAAAAGAATTGTGATAGTCTACAAACCTTGGTTGCAAATACCTCCATTCAGACTTCAACTAATTGTACTCACTAAACTTGTCTTCCAAACTAAATTCAAATTTCAGTAGACACAGTATGAACAAATTCAAAACCACCTCTGAGTAAATGTTGATTTTTCAGTGGCCCTCAACTACGGTATCTTCAGGCGGAAGGACTTCAACGAGACAGCTCAGTATGTTATGTTCTATGACATGGGGGCGTCGAGTACAACCGCTACCGTGGTCAGTTATCAGATGGTCAAAGTCAAAGATAAGGGAATTGTAGAAACGCACCCTCAAGTGGCTATTCTAGGTGTTGGGTGAGTAGTCAAGTCACTCATCTCTGTCTACATTCCATCCCCTTGTTAAAGTTGTTGCCAAGAATTGAAATTCAATAAAAATTCCAATCAAATTGAATCATAATGGACGTAACATAGTTGAATTGAGGCACCGATAGGATGTGCTTGTGTAAATTACTGATTTATTTCAAATACACCAACTTTTCAACCAAGCTAAACTGATTACGACGTATTGTAAAACTTTGTTGTCATATCAACTATCTCAGTTACAAAAACTAAACCACTTAGTAGAATTTTAGACTGTAGTACACCCTGTGAGGCTATTTGAATAAAAAAAGGCTACAGTCGGTATATAGATAGGATATAGATGGGATATCTAGATATATAGCCATATAGATGGGATATCTACTATTCTATAAAATATCAATGTAGGCTACCTAAAAGTTAAGTTAGAATTTATTTATTCATGTTTTAATTTTAATACTCTGATAAAATGATCAATCTATTTTTATTTGTTTCGATTAATTAAATCACATAATAACTAGAACATTAGAAAATTAGGTAAAACACGTGAAAAATATGGTTTAAGGTTGGCATACTCTTTTAAGTTGAAGCTGAGTAGTTCCTACCGATAGAATATAACTCTTAATAAGCTCACCTATGAGGCTGATGTGCCAAGGGACATGGTCCGCACTCAAAGATAGCTCCAGCGTGTGCTCTATGAAATTCTTACCTATATTTGTTATAGGTACTTTTACTAGATAGCTGGGATATTATAAACTTTAGCACTATATAATCTCCTTTACAAATCCAAAGGCGATTGATCAAAATTGTGTTATAAGAGCTCTAAGGGGACCATTTATCAGCTTTAGTTTCAATGTTGTTTAATTGTCCACATTTATTATGAATCTGGGTTTGCAGCTATGACAGAACCCTTGGAGGGTTAGAAATGCAACTTAGACTGAGGGACTACCTTGCCAAAAAGTTTAATGAGATGAAGAAAACAACAAAAGACGTGTTTGAGAACCCTAGAGCCTTAGCGAAACTGTTCAAAGAAGCTGGTCGAGTTAAGAATGTCCTTAGTGCTAATGCTGATCACAATGCTCAGGTAAAACATCATGTCTTTAGTAAATGGTTCACACAGTTTAGTACTAATTGAGATGAGAGACTCCTTAACAAGAAAAAAAGCTGTAAATAACTAAGCTAAAAGATTGAAAATGTATATTTTGTAACATTAACATTTCAGTTTCTGATTGTATGCAGTAGTACAAAAACAGTGAAATTCAAAACAATACTTCTGGGTGTTAGAAGTGAAATCAAATTTTGAGTAAACTCCCGACTCAAAGTGAAAGTTAGAATCTTTTGTTGACTTTTGTTTTCACGTATTTCTCCTATATTGAGAAGCTATTACCGTAGGTGTTGTGGTAAGACCTAAATCAGTTACCAATGTACTTTTTAATTTTTTTCTTCCCAAGAGGTCTTGCAAATGTTTATAAGTTAATAAATTTTAAGTTATATATGTTTTGTTCTGATTTCAATTAAATTTGGCATGCAAGTTCATACAGTTGGACTGGATAAATTTGCAAATTCGCAAACGAGTTTGACAGGATTGTGGTAACAGGATCTTATAGGGTAAAAATAGATTTTTCTCATTTTTGACCCCCAAAATATAACATGTTGCAATCGTTTTTGAAACATTATTGTAAAGCTTAAAAAAAAAAAAAACTAAGCGTAGCCTAATTGGTAGGCTACTGAAAAAAAACTGGTCATTTTAATTTCCTATGCCATTTTATAGAAAATTTGTAACCTGTTTTTCGTTTGCTTGTTTATTGATCATACAGTTTACCAAATTTTTTTATTTTATTAAAAGCTTTCGATATTTCACTAACAAAAACACTTTATTACCTTCCCTGTAGCATCAATCGTAAGTACTCGTTAAACCTAATTTTATTTATATAGCCTAGCTGATAAACCTGACAAGTTTTAAGGAAATATTTTATTACAAAATCCTATCAGACAAATGGAAATTTGCTTAGTCTGCAGGTTTTCCTGCAATGGGGGTATTTTGGTAATAAGCAGAAACTGATTATTAAAATGTACTACTGACTAATACATTTTTTTACTTAATCTAACACTCATTCATGTAAACCTGTTGTTTGTCACATTAGATAGAGGGGCTGCTGGATGAGATAGACTTTAAACTGCATGTGACAAGAGAAGAGTTTGAACACCTCTGTTCTGATCTTTTTGAAAGAGTAAAAAATCCCGTTGAACAAGCTCTGAAAGTTTCTGGGCTTTCAATGGATATAATAAGTCAGGTAAGGTTTAATAAAATGCTAGAAACAGTTGGTGTTAGAGTATAATGAAGAGTAGAGTAATTTTTGTATTTTACAAAGAGAACAGGAAACAGAATACATTTTTGTAATATTTATTAATTTAATACAACCTATAAGATTTATAAATGTAGCTGATGTTTGTTTTTGTTATTATTACTGGTTATGTTGTCTTGTCTCGTAATGGTTGCTATTTCATTGAAAATTATTAAAAAGTATCCTTTCTCCCATTGCTATATACAGGGTGGCTGAAAAGTAACTTGCACCCCTCCCCCCCCCTTAACTTTTGAACCTTTAGAGATATTTGAAATCAATTTTCGGCAACCTTCTTAGAAATGAGGGGCTACAATAATTATAGTTAATTTTGAAAATTTTGCCCTTCAGTGAGGGTAGGGGGTAGCTCAAAATGGTTTAATGGTTTGTTATCATTTTACAGGTCTTGATAAAACTAAACAATTAACATCAAGAAAATAGAAATCGGACCACTAATAACAAAATGGCAGTTAAACATTACTTTTAATAACCATTGTCTTAATAATTTTTAGCTGCCATTTTGTTATTAGTTGTACGATTTCTATTTTCTTGATGTTAATTGTTAAGCTTTGTCAAGACCTGTAAATGATACAGAAATCGAGCATACTTCCTATTTGAACAATTTGAGCTACATCCCACCACCACTACCCCTAAGGGCAAAATTTTCAAAATCAACCATCATTATTGTAGCCCCTTATCTAAATAGGTTGCTGCAAACTGATTTGAAATATCTCAAATTGTTAAAAAGTTAAGGGGGGTTATTTATTTTCAGCCACGCTCATGGTTATTTGGATTTGATAAGTTTTAGGGCACCATTTTATTATTAGTTATCCGATTTTAGTTTTCTTTATGTCAATTGTTAGTTTTGTCAAGACTTGTAACATTATACCAAACTCGACTATACTTACTTGCCGTTCGAAAATTTTGAGTTAACCCCTTCCCCCACTGAAAGTCAAAATTTTCAAAATTAACTTATATAATTATATTAGCCCCTCATCGCAAACCGATTTCAAATATCTCAAATAGTTGAAAAGTTAAGAGGGGGTGCGAGCTACTTTTCAGCCACCCTGTATTGTAAGTAAACAATCGGCTCATTGGTTCAGCACTGGCTGTGCAGGTAGTGCTGGTGGGAGCTGGGACCAGAGTACCCAAGGTACAAGAGAGACTGTCAGCTGCTGTCAACATGGAGCTGAGTAAGAACCTCAACACTGACGAGGCGGCTGTGATGGGAGCTGTGTACAAAGCTGCTGACCTCTCTACTGGGTTCAAGGTCAAGAAGTTCATCACCAAGGACGCTGTTATCTTTCCTATACAGGTGATTGTAGGTTAGGTTTATTAGGTTTTATTTGTACGATTGATACACCAGTGTGCATATTTAAAAGCAAAGATGGGTGAAGGATGAGTGTTGACAGCTTTGCTACTGACACAGCTGGAGTGTGATTTGGTCTGATACTACCTTGACATAGTAGTATGTATTGTAACACAATCAACTTAATAGCATGGTAAATTAAACTGATTGTAAGAAACAATCTTTTTAAAAGTAATGGTAACCTTTTTTATTTTCAGGTTTTATTCGAGAGAGAAACCACATCCGAAGAAGGTTCAAAACCAGTAAAGAGGATGTTATTTGGTCCAATGAATCCTTATCCTCAAAAGAAGATCTTGACATTCAACAAGCATCAGTCTGACTTTGTTTTCACTGTACACTACGCTGAACTGGACCACATACCTCCACATGAAGTAGAGTAAGTTTTACCATCAAGAATATCTCAGAATATGGTCCAGATTTATTAAGTGTTTATATTAATATTCACAAGTTTCAGCGCCTTGGAGTCTCACAAGATTTACAAATGCTGGCATTTCTTACCATGGAATGATATTATGCTGTATTTAGCTGTAGATGGCCTGACTTATGACACACACAGTGACACTTGATGAATCTTCCACCATATTAATCCTAGCAATATAAAAGCAGAATTTGTCCACTATTGAACCAGCAAACCAAGAACAAGAGCTTTTATTTCCCTCGTTTACAAGCTCAGTTAGCGCTTAGTTAGGCCTACTCAACTATTTTTAGTTAACTATAACTGTCAATAGTCACCTTAGTCTAGTAGCCAAATTGTGTGGAAGCAAATTCTGCTTTTATAAGAAATTCAAGAATCAAAACGATAGATAATAGTTCTAAAATAAAATTACCATATGAGGTACCCCATATCACATTTCATATTTTTATTTTTTAGTGTGATCGGGTCATTGAACCTTTCGTCAGTCAGTTTGTCTGGAGTGGCTCCAGCATTGGAGAAACACAAGGCCCCTAACACAGAGTCTAAGGGAATCAAGGTAGGTCTGACATCTGTCTAGAGTTGTTACTGCATTTTTTAAACAATATGAATACAGTTCGATACCAGATTTCAGATTCAAGCTTCGTTTTGCATAGTAAAGTCCAAGATCAAAAAATTAAAGAATCTATTTTTTAGTGTGATTCAAATTAAAAGATTCATCTTCAATAAGTTTACTTTAGAGTTTACAATTTTAACTAATTTCCTCAGCTTTGGCTGAGTTTGTCCTGAAACATTATGAAAACTTAGTTTTTTACTTATACTGATGGTAAAGGTCAGCAATAATCTTTTAGATAATGAACCACAATGTTATAAGTTAATATAAGTAACAAGTTTAACCGCATGGGTTTTGAAAGGATCTGAAAATAAAAACACTACAACGACCTTTCTTTGTTTCAAATTATCATATAAAGTTCTTCCATATAACAAACTGGTAATAAATTGCCATTATACCGTGTAAGTGACAACATTACTTGGATTTATAAGCATTCATCAAAACTAATCTGTTTGACCAATTTCAGGCTCATTGGGTGCTAGATGACAGTGGCATTCTGAGTCTAAGCACGGTGGAGCTTGTGTTGGAAAAGTCCATCAGTCCTGAGGAGTTAGAAGCGGAGGAGTCTCCTCTGTCCAAGCTGGGCAGCACCATCAGCAAGCTGTTCACTGGACCCGAGGACTCGCTGAAGGAACCTCTGGAGAAACCGGTACACGAGGAGCAAGACGAGTCTAAAGAAGCGGAACCAGCACCTCCCAAGAAAGAGGAAGGAGCAGACGGGTCAAAGCCGAGTGAAGAAACTGTCTCAGGAGAAGACAAAAAGAATGCAACGTTGAAAGACGGAGAGAAGAAGAAACCGAAATTGGTTGTGTTGAAAGAGCCGATTGCAGCTAACCTGTCAGAACACGTGGTACCCGGCTTGGCGGAAGAACATTTACAGCAGTCTATTGCCAAGTAGGTACCACAACGTTGTTATTGACCATTGTAAAAATCATAATTGTTGTATAAGTTAATCTCTTTGGGAATTACAAGTGAGACTAATAAGCTATGGCCCATTTAGCAATTTTTTCTTGTACTGAATGTAGAGCAGTTAAGTTTTACAAACAACCAACATTATACACAAATCCTGATAAATAAAATAATGTTCATGGTCATTATGTGTTGGAAATAATTGTCTTTTCTTTTCAACTGTAGGCCTAATAGTCCTACTAAAAATTACTCATTGCCCGCGGAAGCTAATAATCATATGAATTAATGATGTGTTTTGCAAATAAGGTAGTCTACAACGTTTACATGCACCTGGTTTTTACCCTGGAACTGTGTAAAAAAATTACCCAAAGTACTGATTTATAGTTTAATCAATTCAATTTTTTTTGTACATTTATACATTTAACTCCAAGTAAAGTAGAACCAAAAATCCGAACCAATTGGGACCGGAGGTAGTTCAGATAGTTCTGGTAGTTCAGATTACCGATTTGTTCAGATTTTCAAATATAGCTTAGAAATGTCTAATAGACACATAATTAGGCCTACAGTATTAAAAATACAGTTCTAGGATACAGTGAATGATATAAAAATAATGATTTATGTACTTAGGTATTTTTGTTATACAGTATAACTGTAATTCATTTCTTGAAAAAAATATGTAGAGCTTATACATTGGAAACGAACAAAACACAGACTGGCTCGGCGCGTTCACTCATTTCCCTGCCAGGTGCCGACTGTTTGGCCCGCGAAATTGTAAAACATCTGTTGTCTTTGTGCTAATTCAATTTTCTTAAACTCTCCGGAGTGGTTTGGATTTTTGAAGTTTCAGATTTTTGACGTTCGGATTTTCGACTCTCTATTGTATACAAGCCCAGGAGACCATAAGGTCTAGTGATAGAACTTGGGGCTTCAGAGCCCGAGGTCCCGGTTTCAAATGCCGCCAATCACCAATAGATTTTATTTATGTGATAATGCCCCGACTCTCTAGTACTAGCCTGAAGTAGTGTGTAAAACAGTTCTGGGCTATAACCTAGCGTCTTAGGATGCAAAGGTAGAACAAGGATACAAGCCTGGCCAAAAAAATAATTAATTAATTTCTGACAGAACTTTACCACTTCATGTTTTTTTTTCAGGATAGAAACCCTGAACAAATACGACGCAGAAAAAAGTCGAAGAGAAGGTGCTCTCAATAATCTTGAGAGTTTCTTGTTTGATGTAAAAATGAAGTTGGAAGATGAAGATGAGTATAAATTTGCAGCCACTGAAACCGAGACAGAATCTATAAACAAGATGGTGGCAGAGGTTTGTTTTTAACTATTATCATTTCTGTCTAGGCTGTAACAAACTACAAACTAGGTTGTGTAGATAGTAAAGAGAACTATAGTCCAAGCTATCAAATTGATTGTGTAAAGATAGTCTTTATGCCTTTAGTCTTTAGTCTTTATGGGACAAGATAATTTAAGGTACGTGAGCCTTTGCGAGTATGATAATCCCGCACCAGATTTCGTCTTGTGCGGGAACCACCATACTCGTCCGGTTAACACCTATTTCCGGACTAGTAACGTAATAAAGAACATTAATTATTATAAACTAATAACTAATAACTTTACAGAACTGCTTAAAAGGGTAGTTTTGATAGAAAATTTTAGTAGCCTAGTTAATGTGAGTAGTTTTTTACCATACTACAATATGGATGTTAAAACTTAAAAGGTCAATATGAATTTTGGAAAAAAGGTTGATTATTATTTCTAACATTAGCCTAAATGTTTTAAGCTTTAACATATGAAACTATTTGGGTAAAGTAACATCGGTAAGTGTTATTAAAGTAACAGAATCTATTGGCTTATCACTTTGTTCTGTTCAGCTCTCGGATTGGTTGGATGACGAAGGGTTCTCGGCTGACGCAGTTACCTTTGAGAACAAACTGTCGGAGCTGAAGTCATTGACCAAGCCAGTGTGGAAGCGTGTGAAGGAAGCTCGGGAGAGACCCGAGGCCATAGCAGCACTGAGGTCTACAGTCAACGGTAGTCGCAACTTCCTCTCGACCATCAAGAACATGACAGCGTCGCAGACAGTAGACGAGGGAGATCCTCCGATGTTTACACAAATAGAGTTTGACACATTAGAGAAAGTCATCAATGAGACTGAGGTAATTATGTCAAACTACAGAGTCTGGTTTTTTAAAAGTTAATTTTGGTGGTAGGTACAGTAAAACTTCAGATTAACCAAAATAAAGGGAATATAAAAAGGTAAAAAAACCATTTTATCTTGCAATTTACGATCCAGAGGCTTACCCACCATGAAATAAAGGAAACAAGATTGTTTTGCATAACCTATATATATATATATTTTTGGTTAACCAGTGCTTGGAATTTAAGACTTTAAACATTGTTATAATCAAAGGAAAGGCTTACCTTACGATCCAATTAGTTAATTGTGGAGACCTAGATTTCTACGTCGAAACATTATCGTCAGTCCTGTCCTAGGCAAAGCTAAACTTTTAACTTGTTGTTTTTCTTTTCTTAGTTGAAATATTGTCAATTTGATAGAATTTTTATAAATACAAACATTGAATATATACAAACTAGTGTACCTGTTGCTCGAAATCGAGCAATTGTCAAGTACCGTTATTACAAAAGTTCCTTAAAATAAATAACAGTCATAATTTTTTATGAGTTTAAAAGATTCAACCAAAAGGTTATGGATGTTAATATGGATGTTTCCTCTATGAAATATGTAGGTTTACAATTACATCAAGTTGTTGTGTTTTTCTTGTAGAGGTAGATCTAAATAAAATTTAAGTACAAAAAACAAAATTCCATTTTTAAAAAGATTTTTGACAATTTTCAGTGGGACCTATCCTTAACATTTTTACGTCTTTGATGAAAAATTACTGCCCTAACTTAAAATTTTTTAGTTGTATTGCCCTTGTATGTTATGTTCAGTAAAATTATAACTTAAGATTACGTATAGATTAATTATAAATATTTTGAATATTGGTTGGGGCGGCTATGCATCACCTATGTATCTCTGATATAAATGGCCCGGGAAGTTTGTAGTCTAAGTAAAACCATACCTGCAGGCCTGCAGGGTAAAATGTTAATCTATTTTTAGTTGTTTGAGTTTAATTTTATTGTTCACAGAATTGGCTGGAAAAAATGATCGTTGATCAAGGGAAGTTGAAACCGTCTGAATCACCTGCTTTGACAGTTAAAAGCTTAGTAGACAGGATGAGCAGTTTGGACAGAGAGGTAAGTGAATACTGCTGGACTACTGATTCAAATAACATTTAACTAGGGATGTACAATGAGTTATTTTAGGGTTAAAGTTAAAATGAAATAGAATTGAACAATTTCTAAAATGTAATATTTTTGAGGGAATATGTTCATATTTTATTATTAGAGGTATACAAATTAAGATGGTGTAATTTGGTTCAAATTGGATTTGAGTCGTACAGTTTGGATCAAATCGGATATTGAGTGGTTCGGATTCAGAAATTTTCATATTCAAATAATTAGGTGTTTTAAGTACTTAATAAATCAATACCGGCACTAAGGTTAGTAATTTAGGAAAATTTGTATTCATCTAAATTTTACCTAGTATCACTGAACAGTTTAAAAAACTACAGTAACTTTGATATAGGAATGTATAGAATTTAATTCGAAATAGATGGGTCCTGAAATTTTGGGAATTTTCGTGGAAAATATACTCTCCATCTTCAGGACTAAATTGTATTTAATTTGGTTTTTTTCTGAAAGGGACTTGTTCTAACCATCAACAAGTAACAATGATGATGTCTACGCCACTCGCAAACTTCTATTCTAAATATATAAAAATATTATGAACAATAATACTACTGTTTTTGCAGGTTAAATATTTAGTCAACAAGGCTAAGATATGGAGACCCAAAGTAAAAAAAGAAGAACCAGCAAAAGGTATAGTTGAATTTATTAGTTAGTTGTTTGGTAAACAATAAAAGTAATCATACAATGCTAAACACATTTTGAGAGGGTTGTAAAAGTATCAGAACTCAAAATTATTATGTTATATTATTTTACATATAACATTTTATAGGGATGGACGGGTCCCGAAATTTCGGGAATTTTTCGGGAAAAAAATATTCCCGATTATCGGGACGGGATTACATTAAACTCGGGAATTTTTCGGGACGGGATTTGGTCCGATCGTCGGCGATTTTTCCGCTTCGCGAGTGCCGATAACGCCGTTATTGCGAGCGATAGGTCCGCGAACGCAGGACCCGAAGTCATTTCGACGATTACGCCGTGACCGCGGAGTCATAACGATGATCGCGCCGTGGCCGCGATTATTGGACCGACGATCGCACCGTGACCGCGAGTCATAACGATGATCGGGCTGTGACCGCGGAGTCATACCGACAGTCACGCCGTGACCGCGGAGTGATAACGACGATCGCGCTGTGACCACGAGTCATACCGACTATCACGTTGTGACCGCGAGTCATACCGACGATCGCGCCGTGACCGCGAGTCATACCCACGATTGCGCCGTGACCGCGAGTCATGTCGACGATCGCGCCGTGACCGTGGGGTCATACCGACGATAACCCCGTGACCGCGAGTCATGACGACGATCGTGCCGTGACCGCGGGTCATGACGACGATCGCCCCGTGACCGCGAGTCATGCTGACGATCGCGCCGTGACCGTGAGTCATATCGACGATCGCGCCGTGACCGCGAGTCATGACGACAATCGCGCCGTGACCGTGGAGTCATACCGACGATAAGCCCGTGACCGCGGAGTCATACCGACGATCGCGCCGTGACCGCGGAGTCATACCGACGATCGCGCCGTGACCGCGAGTCATGACGACGATCGTGCCGTGACCGTGGAGTCATACCGACGATAACCCCGTGACCGCGGAGTCATACCGAAGATCGCGCCGTGACCGCGAGTCATGACGACGATCGCGCCGTGACCGTGAGTCATACAGACGATCACCCCGTGACCGCGGAGTCATACCGACGATCTCGCCGTGACCGCGAGTCATGACGACGATCGCGCCGTGACCGTGAGTCATATAGACGATCACCCCGTGAACCGCGAGTCACAAGTTTCTATAGGTACCTGTAAATTGTTACCCATTTTTTGGTTTTTATAGATCATTGCCACAAATGGTAAAAATTGATTTCGTATGTCTTTTTTGGTAACTGCAATACAGTACTTTCTTTTTATGCACAGAAAAAAATCCCGTCCCGTCCCGTCCCGAAAATCGGGAAGGAAATAAAAATCCCGTCCCGTCCCGTCCCGAACTAAAAATTCAATCCCGTCCATCCCTAACATTTTATCATATTAATACAATTTAACTAGTATATAAATTCTATACTAGATTAAATGGGAGTGGATTTTATACTTAATTCAGTTTACTTTTTTTCTTCTTAGAAAACAGATTTTATATAACAAACTATTCCTTTAGTGCAATATAAAAATGTTGAAATGGCAAACTTCCTTTTGATAAAAAAATAATTTGACAGGCTGACAGACTTTTAAGTTTTGTACTAGTGGCCGAGGTATATACCCATCTCTGTAACTACCACTAATATGATGTGCCACCATAATTTTTGTTAACTAGATATGACTGATTTCTTAATAGAATATGTTTAAAAAATTCAATCAATGGCTGAGGATTTTTTATGTCTCAAATAATTTTTAGACAAAAACACAACTTCAAGTACCAAAGAAAAAGGTGAAAAATCAGAAGATAAACCTACTGAAAGTAAAAAGGATGAAGAAAAACCTGCTGAAAGTAAAAAGGACAAAGAGAAACCTGTGAAGGAACCTCAAGAAGACGAGAAGTCTCCACCTTCAGTTGAAGAGGAACATAATACCATATATTTAGACGAAGAAACGTCAGAAAAATCAACAACGGAAAAATCAGAAGAGAATGTTACTGAACAGCCCAGTACAACAGAGACAAGTGAGTATACTGAATGTAATGTCAACCTAAATTAAACAATAGTCAAGAGGCTTCATTCATATTTGAGGTGTGGTAATTGAAATTAGGAGTTTTTGTGTAGGTTTTGTGTTTAAAAAATTAACAGCATTATAGGACTACAAGTTATGGATATAGTGTTTCACCCTATGCTGAAATTGTTGTTTGAATATGGCAGTGTTAGCGTGAATCACGTAAACTTACACATATGTCTTGTTTGTTTTGCATCAAAGCCAATTAAAGTTTTTTCCTTAGGCCGCATACATATATGTGTAGTCAAACGTTTTGTCAAGTCATTTTGAGCATTTAACGTATAGTTTGTTTCGATTTTCTAAACGACATGGTTTTTAGGTGAGGTCAATAATTCAGTTAGATATATATTTTTGGGCATTACTCATCTTTGAAATCAGGTGAGCACAGTCCTAACCCCAGCACAAAAAAAAAAAAAAAAAACAAATCTTTACAATACAAAATTGAACATTTCACTGACACTGAAAGCTTAACTAAGGAAGGTTACAAATTTTGAACTATTCACTAAATTGGAACCTTATTGGGGTTTTTGGCTCCAAGTGTTAAAGCACTTACACTAGATGAACTTAACACAAAGCAACAACATTACAATAGTAAAAGAAACCAAGGATGTGAGGTGAAAAGTGTATAATTTGTTTAAGAGTTAAGGAGAGTGTTATAACTTTTATTTTAGCTACAAATAACTTTCAACTAAGATTATTCTTGCTTATTAACCATCAAGTAATTTTTCAATGCACGTTTCGTAAAGAATTTTCTTCTTTCTCTTCCAAACTAATGATAATATTTCACACATACATTGTACATTGGCAGTGAAACACTTTGTTTACAGCTAAGGAGGAGGCAGATGTTTGGACGTCAGCTGTGATTGTGTTTGTGATTCACTTGCTGTTCGTTGTGATGTATGTTTACTCCTGTCCTTTTCCTGGTCACTAATACGGGGCTTGTGGTCTAGTCTTCTTCATTCACTAACTTGTTCTTGCTTACAATTAAGTGATGATGAAATTACATTAATTTGTAGACATTGGCATGAATGAAGGGGTGTAACATCTTCAATGTTTATTGTGTTCCCAATCATGTGGTACAATCAGGCCTGTGGTTTGCATGTGAACACCTCTCCCATCTACATTGTGAGGCAAACGTTCTCTTCCTTGTGCCCCCAACAAACCTAAAACATCTTGTGCCCTTGGCCCGAGCCCAGTGTCCCTGGGTACAATGACAGTTATGTTTTTGTGGAGTGAATTATGTTAAATGACGTTTTTGAAATAGCCCTGGTTCGTTCATAGTGTAAGTTAAATTAATCAGAATTTATTTTTGTTCAAAAGTTAATGACCTGTTCTAAAAAATACATAAAATATCCTTATATCAGGAATCAGGATATATTATTTATGTTTGAAATTTGGTCCAGGATACTTAGAGTAGGTTAATTTGGACTGATTATCGTTGGCATATATTACCAACTTTGTGAGTTTATGGATACTTAATTAGTGTGAATAATGGTTTGGTCCGCTCCCTTTCAATACATAAAAAATTCCATTGACATAGAAAATGCACAAAAACATTTAACCATAAAACCGTAATTGTTCATTAAATGACAGATTTTGCATGCATTGTCTATTGCTGTTCTGAACACTATTGTGTAAACTTGAAATCCTTATCACTAAGTAATCTTATGGCTGTTGGTAACTTGTTATAAAATTTACTGCTTAAAATTAATGGTCTTTTATCAGTCTTAGCAAGTCTAACATACGGAAAATTTATATTGCATTTTGACGAGTGTTATGGCTGTATATATCTCTCCCCGGCTTATCTAATTGTGGTCTTAAATATAAAAGGCATTGCTTAATAAATAGAGAAAACATTGTTAAAATTTGGTATTCTTTAAAAAAAATCAATACAGTCATAGTATCTATCTACAACAGCTATGACCCTAATTGCCTTTTGCTGCATATTAAAAATTTATTTTTTGGTGTGAGTAGGACCCCCAAACAAGCAACCCATAGCGTAAATGCTATGGAAAAGTCCATAGTATGCCTGTATGAGAGAAAACCGTTCTAATTCGCCGTTCGTAAACGTTTAAGTGCAAATATACTTGAACTCAGATTATTTTTTAAAACTACAACATGATCATGCCAGGTCAAAGTGGAATCAAAAGTAAATTCTAAAAATGTAGGATTTCTCTCATCATTGGCGTACTATGAACTTCTCGTAAGTTAAACAAAAGAGTATTTGTCTTATCATTATTTTAGTACAAGATTATTAGAAATTCCCAGTTTTCAGCCAGCTTTAGATTATGCATAGAGTCAACCAAACGTTGTTCATGATCTACATGTCTAGTAATGATGGTTGTGTCGTTGGCATATAGAACAATATTTGCAGGGATATTGACACTTAAGTCGTTAACTACTACCAAAAACAATAGAGGCCCAAACACAGATCCTTGGGGGACTCCACAAAATACAGGCTTAAGAGACGATACATAATTTCTCAAAACTAAGTATTTAGTTCTATTTGACAAATAATATCTAAATAAATCTAACACTTACCTTTAATGTTATAATGTTATATTTGTTTTACCAAAATTTCATGGGATACTCGAGCGAATCCTTTACTAAGATCACAGAATGTAAGGCTTAAATATGCAAGACTATTTTGAAATCTTATCAAGGCCTAATAACAAGTATCAATCAGTTAAATTCACTGCTACTTTGAACCTCAAACTTGTTTTCATTTCATGCAAAACTTTAAAGAACAAATACAGTAATGAAGTTTTATGGAGATTTAGCCATAAACGAGCAATCTCTGGCAAAAACATAATTTTCCATAGTGAAAAGGTAGATAACATGGTAACCTTTAAGGTGAGTTTAGTTTTGAAAAATTTTCAAACTTAAAAAAAGTTATAACTTATACAGAAAAGTCTCAATTACAAGACCTAAATAGGCCTCAGCAAGATTGGATGGCAATGAAAATGTTTTAAAATATTAACAAAATTAAATGTATATGTGCACAAAGAATACTATGGTCAGTAGGCCTATTTTGTCCACTCTGAGACAAGGACGTGGGTTCGCAGAGATGTATGTAGATTGAGGAGTTGGCAATTTGTGGGGTATGCAACACACAAACAGAAAAGGTACAGTCATTTGTATGTTAAATTACTGACAAGTATTTCTCAAGTACAGTCCGAGCAACCAAAGGAGTGTGATCTCACAATACTCAATCATTCACAGTGAGGTTTGTGTAGTCAAGACTCCATTTGAAACTGACTTAAGACATCATTAGTTGTTCCTATATACAACAAACCTGATAGTCTTAACACAATTTAACAAAAATATATGATATATGTTAATTCAAATCTTGCAAATCGTTTACAGGTTGATTTAAGGCAATTAATATGCCAAATGGGTTATCAATTAAATTTTTTTTACCATTTTAAATTAATTTTGTCTTATTTTTTTGCAGAGACAGATGAAACCAAACACACGGAACTATAACAAGAAGGGATTTTAGGTGTCCGATATGACAATTTAAAGGTATAGTCCACCATTAAAATATGTAGTATTAGATTTAGATTTTTTTTCATAATGATATAAAAGACTGAGGACGGATTTCCAAGGGGTTGGGGTTTGGAATACCCTCCATTGAGAGGCAAGCCCGAAGGCCTCCCTGGAAAATTCTTAAATGTCTGCCAATTGAAGAGGTTATGACCAACTAAATTGTAAAGATGTGCAATTTTAAAATTATTAGTTAGGAGGATCCTCCACAAAAAAGGACCCAGCTGTCCTTGATCATCGGGCTTTGAATAATAATGATTCTGACAAAACCCAAAAGAACTCGCTGATTTAAGACACGAAGCTGTTATACGTCCTGATTGGTTGACGCTGTAAAGATATCTGAATATATATAAACAATGGCAGTAACTTCTATATAGGACTTGGAAGAATTTTTTATTGTTTCAAGCAATTTGGTGTTTAAAATCAATTTGATTATTTTTGATACAACATTAACATAATTTATTTGCTGTTGCTCTAAATTTTTGTAATTATTTGGATATGTGTGTTGAACTACAAAAGAACCCTGGTGTGTTGAGGATGGTATTTTCACAAACAATGGGGTTTCCCAGATAATCTTGGCATTTAATGATTCATTTTGTTTGATTGCGGACAATCGAGTGACGTTGGGCTTACTAAAATTACATTTTAACCCAAAAATTGTGTTAACCTTAAGTAATAGTTATTAAAATTCTCTATTTTAAACAGTATTTATGATAATCTGGAAATAACGGTTACCTTAAGATGGTGCTATATAATCCGGCACCACCAAAGTCCCAATTATTGATGATATATAATTTGTTTTTATCTTTACAGGGACGAGTACTGGTGACAAGACAAGGCTGATTACCATCGAGTATTATTCAAAAGACTCGTTAATCTTTTTGTCTTGGTTTCCTTTCAGTGCTTTTGGTGACTTTTAAAAAAAAAACAGTGCACTGGTTTTCTCATTTTGTGGGTTTTACCACAGTTAGGCTACTAGTTTATATTTATTTTTTACCTACCTACCAAAATAAGTTCTTATTATTTCTGATCTACTTAAATATACTGTAGAATGAAATATGGTCCTTAAACAGTTTTGTAAAAACTGATTTAATAGATTTCACCTAAGTTTACCAATTAAAAGATTGTTGGTAAGATATAAATCATATTCTATTTTTCCTCTGTGTATCACTTGTGGTTGTGTTTGTTAAATGTAATTTATTGTTTGTCAAATAGTTTAACTATTTGGAAGTTATGTTGCACACAAATCAATTGATTGTTAATCGTGCTGTCATTAGCACTAATAGGTTTGAAATATTTTTTATATTCCACAAATCATTCCAATTACCGAGTTAGAATGCTTTAATTGTTCATGGAATGAATTCCCCTAATTAAGTTATTTATTTTGTCATTTATAGTTTGTACCTATGTGGTGATTCATAAATAGTTGATCTATAATGTTATTTTTAATTTATTTAATATAAAACTATGTGAAAATGAGTTTAATTTTTTTCCCGTCATGTTTATAACAAGGGTCGTTTTTAAGTAAGGGCCGTGTTATAGAGCTTTTATATAGATGTACTGGTATAGCCCAGTATTTCGCGTGTATACTGTAACGAGGCTCTTGCCGCTTACTGGCATCAATTGTGGACATAATGATACCATTTGCAGATTTGAAAGTACATTTCGATGTGCGTTTTAAAAGATTTTACAATTATTGAGTCTCCCTCTGCGTGTGAGATAAGGTCAGACATATGTTTTTTTACCACAAGAAACATATCTGATGCTAACACATTCATCGCCAGATGAGTGAAGTTTATGACCCTAATGCAATGACAGAGATGGGACAGTGAAGAACTGGGCTAGGTAGAATTATAAGAAAATAGCCGTGAAAATGCTCATTTCAGAAGGAATTGTGTTTTTGGTGGGTACCCGACTTCTCACATAAGACCACAATGGAAAAAGCTTTTTCCTACAGTAGCCTGACAAAGTGGCCTTCCTTGCACTTTAGCACAGAAAGTTGCTAATTGCTGCATTTACTTACTTTTGCCTCACTCCAGTATTCCAACCAAACAACACAAAACACTAAAACAGCGTGCTTTTATTATGCACCTAATAGTTTACGCTTTAAAATAAGTTGGCAACACTTAAAAGATATTACGACTACAATCAGCTGTTGCAGCGTTTCTCATTTCGTTTAATGTTTGGATTTAACCTGACCTAAAAACGTGTTGTTGTACAGTGTTTGAAAGACTGATTATTTATAGTAACTGTAGGAAAAAAATAATGGGTAAAACGAGTGCAAACTGCCTTTGCTGCACTCGATAAACTTTCTACACTCGCCTACGGCTCGTGCGTAAAATCTTCTCTCACGTGCAGGGATTTAAATCAAATTTAAATTAAAAGTAGATTTAATCTTAAGAAATAATATGTCTATTTGGAAAGAAAAAAACCTATCAATACTGGTTTTGTTAAGAAACATTTATTATCTTATTATGCAATAAATTATAATTCCAACGTAGTTAAACACCATTTATTTGTAGAACTCGTGCTCAGATTCATCCTTCTTAATGTTGTTCTTGTATCCTTTTTCAAAGTCTTTAGCCAAAACTATGTAGCGATTCTCTCTCACAGCATGCATCCCAGCCTGCAAAAACAATAATTACTAGAATTAAAAATAAACCACAAAATTTGAACAAATTTAAAAACGAATTAGATAGCACTAGAGATGAAAAGATTCAGAAAGATTCGAGAAACTTTAATTAACAAGATTTGAGAAAAAAAAAAACTTTAGAATAGAATTGTAAGGCATATTCTGTGACGCTGCCTAACCATAGAGGTTATTGACGTCGTAAACACAGTACTGTGACATTGACTATCCATAGAGGTTAATGACATCGTAATATACAGTACTGTGACATTGCCTCCTAACCGTAGAGGTTATTGTCGTGGTGGTGGTTATAAGTGTTAAATGGTTCCTATCCCATTCTTTGCTTTTTTAATCACCATAAGCCCATTTGTAATTATTTTTGCACCTCGAGATTTAATTTTTTTAGGATTTGGATTCGAGATTCAGAATTCCTTGATTTGACCATCACTAGATTACACATACACATAATAAAACATCAATGCACTATTTGTTTTCATCCATAATATTTGACAAACAGTTTTAATTTCATAAAGCGATATTATGATGCTGGAACTACTCCGAGTAATATGAAATTAATAAGGAACATTCTTTCAAACTCAAAACTGTTTGGATTGAAAAACGTTCACAGTAAATTCTTAAGTAATTAGGAGCTATTATTACAATATGTAGGAAGAAATTGGTGTCTAAAAAACTTGAAAAGGTTCTCCATACGAGCTCATAAATATTAAAATGAACTACTGGTGTAGGAGAAGCACACTGGCAAGCTTTAACAACCAATAACAATGAGTGATACGGATCTACATGATGCGCACCCGAGCTAGGCAGTCATGAACTAGATCTACTACACTCCGGTAAGTAAAACGTGTTAATTTTATTATGTGTCTACGCAAGTGTCATTTATTACAATTTTTTTATAGAGGGGTTATTGTCAGTAATTGCAATAATCATTCTAATTAGAAATCTAACAATTGACTATAGATACACTACCGTCAAATATACGCACAGTGGAATCAAAGTTGCAGCCAAACCCATTTGAGCAAGAAAAAAATCGACGTAGGACGATCATTAGCTCCCAAAACCGGGCTGATGATGAAAACATCCAGAAATTACAACTGAAGGTAAATAAATAGCCAATTGTAAAAAAACCTTCAACATTTACAAGCTAACACTAGCACACTATAGATGGTATAATTAGGCCTACACCTTTTTGAATCCTCGTTCACATAGTTCCAGGTTCTAGTCTATGCTATAACCATATGACATTTATGTATATACCCACCTCCTGGCATATAGCGTTGATGTCAGCTCCAGATATTCTGTCAGGCCTAGCTACGTAGTCCTCCAAGTCGACCTCTTCGCTGAGATTCATCTTGGCAGTAATGGTAGAGAAAACAAGTCGCTTCTGGCGTCTGTCAGGTAGTGGGAACTCTATCTTGCGGTCGAGACGTCCGGGTCGCAGAAGAGCTGGGTCTAGTGTGTCTGCTCGGTTGGTGGCCATGATTACCTAAACATACGCTAAGTGGTAACACCCTTATGTTAAGCCTACAATCATTTCTTTGCATGTTTCATTGAATGAAATTGAACTTCCCTCATTGACTCTCATCTAGTATATGAATGGTTTCATTTCTAAACTAGCTCAAATGTGAGATCAATTGAAAATACACGATAGCACAATTAAATCTACATTTGGGAACACTATTTTAGTGTAAAGTTTAAGTGTACATGTAACTTTGCTGTGTTGCCAACCTGGCCGACGGACCTTCCGGCCAATCCCTAAAGTGTTTATTTAGGCAGATGCCCTGTGTGGTATCTGGAAATGTAAATAGAAGCAGCAATAAAGCACTTTTTTCATTTCATTTCATTAACTTTTTTGGTAGCCAAATTTGTACAATACTCGCCAAGATAAAATTATTTATCTTGATACTGATTGGTTTTGGACCTATAGTCGGGACCACGAGAGTGTGCAGTTGGCGGCAGCCAATCACAAGACAAAGCCAGTACGACGTTGCCATATTGCCCGTTGACGACACTAATTAAAATACTAAACAATATTTTCAAATAAGCTGGTAAGATTTGGCAACACCACACTGTCCTTATTGGCTTCTTCGAAGTCACGTGGTAAATAGGCAAAGTACGAGTACGAGTAAGCACAAATAACATTTTACTTCAAATCTCTGTTTTCAGTGTAAAAGAAAGTGCATGTAGCCTATGTGACACCTCAGAGATAAGACAAATCAACTCCATGCTAGGACTACCAACTATAGAATGTGTAAATAATAAATATTTTTGTACAGGCCTAGACAAGTTTTCAATTTAATTAAATCCAAAAAATACCAAGTAAAAAATCACTCCTCACCTTCACATTGGTGGTCTGGTCAAATCCATCCATTTGATTCAAGAGTTCCAACAAAATTCGCTGAACCTAAATAAAACAAGAACTGATTTGTAAACTAATAAATATTACGTTGCATATTGAAAATAATTATTTACAATGCCCTATTTAGAGGTTAATGATAAGATAAGTATCATGAGGTAGTAATGTCAACAAAGTTTAGGGTAAATAATGCCCTGGGCAACAAACAGCTTTGGACCTTCCCTTTCCTTCTCTGAGTCTGTGGCACTCACTCAGAAAAACTGTTAAAATTAAACTAGGCTAGTTGAAAACATGATAGGCCTGAACGCTATTTGGTGGTTTTATTTAATGGATAGGCCTACAGAATGGATACAGATTAAAATGTGTTGTTATTTATTTCTTAAAATAAACAAATCAAGACAATATTGTAAAAAAGATATTTTTGAAAATTTGGTTCCCAGCCAGCCTAATATATACAAAGTGAGATTGAAAGCGATTAAGTGAGGTCCTAATAAACCTCTAGAATAATTTCATTACTTACTTTACATTAAAACGTATCCAATAATCAATGGTAAAACCTTAAATTGACTTGAGGTATAATGGTTATAGTAGAGAATGATTCATGTAAGTTACAACAGGTAACATTGTTAGGCTACATATTTATATCTTGTTTTCAACACTTATGTATATTCACTAATGAATAAAAACATACCTCTCTGTCTGCTCCAGTTTGAGCGTCAAATCGTTTTGTAGCAATCGCATCAATTTCATCAATGAAGATGATTGCTGGCGAGTTCTCCTTGGCAAGACGGAACACATCCCTCACCATACGTGGACCTTCACCCAGATACTTCTGAACAAACTCCGAACCGACTACTCGGATGAAAGCAGCTGTGAAATAATTTACAAATGAACAATATGGTGTGTACAATATAGTACAACTGTGATTAGAAACAATGGTGAGTGTCCCCACACAAAAAAAAAATAACAGTCACTGGTTCCATAATGAAGCAGATTTACCTAGAATTTGAACGTTTTGCCATTGTATGGCATTTTGATGGATTAACAGCGCTTCATCGTATGACCAAAGCAGGCCTTTGACCAATGCTAAACTTTTGTTTAGTGAAGGGTATGTTTAGTTTTTTCTTTTAGAATGTTTTCAAGATAAAGTTACATGGGCCAAACAAAAACATAAGTTGTATAGGTGATTAATGTTTCTGCAAATGACTTACCAGTTGTATGATGAGCCACAGCCTTCGCCAGCATAGTCTTGCCGCAACCTGGAGGACCGTACATCAACACTCCTCGAGGAGGGTCAATACCAATCTGTTTGTACAGCTCAAAGTGAGTCAAAGGAAGTTCCACCGCCTCTCTGATCTCTTGTTTCTGCATGTCCATGCCTCCTATATCTGAATATTGCACATCAGGCTTCTCATCTGAAAATGAAAATGGTTTAAGAAATTATTCATATAGGCTATTTAAACTAAAAATATTATAGTAGGTAGTAGGTATAAAATATATTAGTAGGTAAAAGAAATCACTGTAGATACGGTACTATAAACACAGTAAAGAATCCACAAAAATACTGAGTACGGCATCAAAGAAATGCGGGGATATCACTGATAGTTGGACCATTGATATGACCTCTTTTTATAATGAAATTAAACAATGAATGAAGGCTCTCTAGTAGTTTACACAAGTCGTTAGTTTATTAATATTTCAGATAGCAATAATTAAGGTCAGTAAAAGGTTAAACTCCTTTTTGTTCAGTGTGATATACAATTCATTCCCCCCTCTACGCCTCTACTATGTGGACCAGTCAAAGATGTCTTCTCGGACAAGTAAGTGAAGCTACTAACCAGCTTGAAGCATGGAAATAGACGAGTCCGCCTCGGGAGGTAAGACATCCACCAGAGCATTGCTGTGTTTGTGAAGAGCCACACTCGCTGACGGCTTGAGCAGCTCTCGATCGATGGTCGATAATATACGAACATAGTAGTTGGAGCCTGTAAACATACAAGATCTTTCTTTTATACAGAATAGACCTAATAGGAACTACTAAGCATATTAAGCCTATTCGTTATTTTATTCCTATACGTTGAACAACAGTTAAGTTTTTAAAACTCTTCAACGTTGTAAATCGCACACAAGAATAAGATACTGGAGGTACATGCTGTGTCAGTTTAGAGGTCTTTGCATTCTTAAATAATCGTGTTACGATAATATATTGGCCTGTCAATAATTTAAATTGTAGATTTATGAAAATATTTTACAAAAATCTAGTTGTGTCCTTTCATTTAATGTACCCTGTTGTTAATACTTTACCTGTGGTACTACCAACGATTCCAGTATTCTGATCTACAGCCTCTAAAAACTGTCCAATAACTAACGGTACGCTCTGAATTCTTTTTACTTCTTCTTGTGCGTGTAAATACTCCTTTTTCAAGTTGCGTTGTTCGTCTTTGATGTATTCTTCTTGAACAGCTAAAAACTCTAGCTGTCTTTGTAATTTCTGAAAAACAATGAGATAAGCTTCTGGATTTTGTTTGCATTTTATGACAACATAAATATAAATTTGACAAGTCGGCCTACTTAAGAATGGCAGGAATTCATAAAAGTTATCGATACATAAATTCCCTCAGTCCGTGGATTACCTTTTGAAACATACTACAGTGAGTTAGTTGTATAGGTGCAGCAATTGACAATGGATAACATTTTTAACATGAGATTACCTACTTCATTTACCTAGGCCTATCCCTCCGAATGGAACAACCATTCACCAGTGTGTAGTTCTAATAGGCAAACTGTCAAAAATCACTCAGCCATAGAACACAGTTCAACTGAGGTCTAACTTACTTAAGTGTACATCATTCTTATAAGTAGGCTATAAATAATTACATTTTGTAGTGTACGGTACCTATAAAGTGTAGGAAAACTTTCATTAAGCAGCAAAAACGACAAATCAGCCTACCTTATACTTTGTGTACAAGTCACTTGTGCTTTCAAGGTCATCAGTGACTACTCCAGTTCCAATCGTGGGTTTTGCATCCAAACTGACGTCTTCCTGTAATAAAAAAGAGAAATGTATCGTAGACTTGTCTCGGTATACTAATTTAAGGCATAATACACTAAATTAACAATACTCAACAATGAATCTTCCTTTCAGATCCCATCGTCTCCCACTTGTAGCCCTTTCTATATCCCCCCCCCCCTCTTTAGGCACGCAGTGCCTGATTTCTATAAATTATGGTAGAGCATAGCATATCAAAACAGAAACTTAGGGCTGTCAAACCCTGCTCCCTATCCTCCAGCATCATTATTCGTCCCCTTTCCCCCCAAAAATTGTGCTCTAGCAAAACAAGGGCAGTAAAGTGGTGGACCTATCCATCATTAGTTTTGGAAATTTTTATTTAACACTTAACTAGGCTTTATTAAAAACTTGAAAAGGTAAACACTTGTAACTTAGCTTAAAAGTAAATCTCAAAGATGAAATTCATACAGCAGTATACCAACCATAAGAGGGGTTTTTGGTAAAAATTTCAGATTTTTAAACTTTGTCCCAACAAAGATATTGAGACTCAAAATTGAAATTTTTTGATAAATTTCAGTTTTTGAAAAATTATAACTTTTAAAGGAATTAAGTCTCAGGGTTGATATTTGAAATACAAACAGTTCTACTGAGTTGCTACACACAAAAAAAATCTAGTCTGAGATTTTATTTGTTCCAACGGTAAATAATACCTACGCCTTCAAAAGTTGAAATTTTTCCGTTTTCTTATGAAATTTTGAGATGGGTTGAAAACTGTTTTTGATACACATTTCAATAAAAATGTAGCCTACTGAACATAATATTTAGGCTGTTTCTTCTAGATTAAAATGCTTATTGTTTCATCACTCGTCACAGATTTTGCTTTGAATGTAATTTCTTCTTAACTGTACATCTTTTGTTAGAATTTTTGGCATTTATAATTTTATGTTATGAAGAGAATTGAACCTTTATTTGATTTTTTTCATTATCAGCAAGTTTGGTTGGTTAGGTTAGGTTATGACAGTAACTGCCGGACGCCTATTCCACGTCCTGTTACCAGACGCGTATCCTCTGCGAAACATTTAATGGTCTAGACTATAACTGGTTGATTCACAATGTTTGTATTGGCAACCTAGACCTAAGTACTGTAGGCATAGGCTAGGCCCATACCCTGGATAGCCTAATCAAAACCAATAGGCTAAGTTATTGCGTTAGTTAGAAAGATAATAGCATTAATTCTACGATAACCTCTAGCTAGTTTTCTTCTAAAGACTTCTTCATTAAGACAGTAAATAGCAATATACCATCATAAACCTCTTTCTCGGGCCCTAACTTATTTGATATTAGCAATTCAACTGGCCCAAAGAAAACAAAAGAAAATGTAGACATTACCTTTTCAGGTCCAAGCGAAATACCAATTTCTTCCATTACAACTAATTTAGTTTTAACTCAACAGAGATGGGACGGTAGTAAACTAAAGTGTTGTCTTTTGTCTTTTCGTTAATTAGAAGCAGAAAACATAACCTCAACTACAAGTACAGAACAGACAAGTTCGATCAAAATCGCTTGGTCATCGGTCATGGAAATGGAATCATTGACAACGGAACGGACTCTGCTGATGTCGGATGTCTTTGTTGTGGTTTACCAAATGCAAAGGCTACCGTACCTTCATATACGCTTGGAGGAATACGTTTGATATTCCATATTATAACAAAACTTGAAGCAGAGAAACGAAATAACTAATCGAACAATTCAACCGTCGATTTAAAACACGTACTTCAATATAGATTAATAATTAATTTTTCTTAGCTGAAGGCATTATTCACGTATGTTTTTAAACGGTCAAAAGGCGTGTTTCGGTTTCGCCTACTATTTCTCCGTTACAGTACATTTAACATGAAATGTATTTTTTTTCCTACAGTCACCCGACAAAGTTGGCTTCCTTGTACTGTTTATAGTACAGAAAGCTGCTAATTGCTGCATATTATTTATACTATGCCGTACGGTTTATACTTTGCCGCACATCAGGATTCCAACGAAACAACACAAAACAGCGTGGTTCTATTATGCAAGTAATCCGTGTACGCTTGGAAATAGGTTGGCAACACTTATATAATATATACTATGATCAGCTGATTGACTATTATAACTACAATTTAACCTGTCATTTCGTGTTTATAGTTTCGTTATTTCTGAACTTTCTGGACTTTTCTTTTAAACGTTTTTAAAATATTCCTACGATCTTAATAAACAAGAAAATACCTTTAAAGCATTTTTTTAGGCGCGGAAACCACTTCAAATTACAAAAACATATTTGTACTATATTCTCAAAACGCGGAGCACATTTCTTGCCGAGGGAAAATTGCGGAGTGATACGGACCAGGTAGCCTACTACAGTACTTTCTCTAGGGCACCTATTTGTGTTGCCAGCTGAACCTGAAAACGTGTTGTATAGTGTTTGAAAGACTAATTATTTATATGCTTTATAGTGACTGTAGGAAAAAATATAATGTGTAACACGAGTGCAAAAGGCCTTTGCTGCACTCGAGATCATTCCGCACTCGCCTGCGGCTCGCACGTAAACATTGCTCTCGTGTGCAGCAAAGTGCCACTTTGCCCACTAGTTACACAAATAACTATTATTTTATACTGGTTATGTCTTTTGCATGTCATGCCTGCTTTCTAATTTGTTCTTATTATAGCTCATATTTTATTACCTAATTATGCTATGTTTGTAAAGTGATTTAATCCTATTTAATGTATATTCGAATGTAAAAATGGCGTTACCATTGAAAGAATAAATAAATAAATAACCAGCTTTAAAATAATTTGAACTAAATTTGTCCATAAAACTCTATTTGCATAAACAAAATCCATATTTCTCTTCTAGTATATTTGATATTCTTTACGTATATTGTGACCAGAAGACAGAGTAGGTCCAGTATCGTATGTCGCTTCAGTCTATAAATAAATGGTGTTGTGATTGTCCAATAAATTAAGTGAAAAATGATTTGAATGATTATCCAATTTTTGTCCCATTGTAAGGTAGGCCCAAACGGGACCCAACTCTCCCTGATCTGTGGGTTAAAATACGTACCAAGGTGGTGTCCCCATCTTCAATTATTGATTGATTGATTGATTAAATCTCTGAGATGTTGGCTTACACAATTTTATCCTTGTTTATTTAATAGATATCTGAGAAATAATATGCCTAAGGACGACCATATATTAAAACAAAACAGCTTGAACAGTTTATTTTTACTTTTTGTACATCATAACACGAGGTCTGAGACCCTAAACCATAGACATTTTGTCTATGCCTAAACACAGTTATGCTTGAAGACTACAGTGATATTAATAGCATAGATTAAGCATAGCCTACTCCCTTAGGGAGTAAGCGTACTTCCTAAGGATGCTTAATCTATGGATGTAGTTTCTTCTCTATTGGGGGATTTACTAAATTAAATAATATCAAATCGTCCATTTAGATTCGCAAAACAACTTAGATATAATTCTTGTTATAATCCTTGTTGAGGGTTCTCTAGATATCAGCAGTTTGAAAGTTTCAAATTTCACTTTGAATCAAAGCTGGAGTCGGCCGAGCAAGTGATAGGATTTCATCAACCCTTTCACTACTCTGATCCACCTAAAATGCTGAGTTCAAAATCCAACTTTGTTTCTGAATCCATTTGTGATTTATAGAGAACCCTCTTCACTCTGACCTTTGATACCACTTCTTTAAATTCACAACGGATATAAAAACACTCATTATTTACAACTAGTTGTTCGGACTTAACTTTGCAACAGGGTTGAGAATACACAATAAAAATAAAACTCAATAATTGTACGAAACTTTGTACAGTTACATGGGTTTTATTTAATAAGAATACGAGTATTAACTTTTATCCATATCTAGAAAATGTAGTTTTAAATACTGCCAATATACACATTGTGTTTTTATTGCAAAATAAATATGAACCATTTGGTCTACTTTGAACGTCCGTGGATCGTACGTATAGCTGAAGACATTTTAAGAACATGAAAAGACCCGCCTTATGTGACGTTGTAATTTCCGTAAAATTACAACCAAGTCGGTTTAGTTGTTGTTCTCCGGTTATTGCGGTGACAGCAATAACTCAAGTGATTATTGTTCGATTTTGATGAAATTTGGCACGATTTTTTGGGGAAAGCTGAACTTGAAATGAACCCGTGAACCAGCAAGATTAAGTTACGGAAACAAGCGGGTTTTAACAATTTCAAATACGTTTTAAAACCTTTTACTAGTAAAACATGAGAATTACTAGTTATCATCGTAGAGGGCCAATTCTTCGTGTAGTGGTTATTTTTTAATATCTAATCGTTATTGTATTCTAAATGGAAGTGTTGCAATTGCTAACGGATATATTTAGTTCTAATTTTGAAAATGTATCTATTTCATATTGGGAACCAGGGCCTGGTCTAATACTAAATTATAAATATTGTACAAAAAAATACTTTTCCCCTTCCCTACAGCAGAAAATCCGTGGTATAGTTACACCTCATATTTTCTAACCAAGGAACAAATCTTACAAGTTTAAGGAATTATTTTTGTAAAGTCCAATTAGGCAATGTATTTTCGCTAAGGTTTACTGCTGAGGGGTATATAATTTTGCATTAGTTTAGTAAACTAATTGAGTATACTTTTGTATTTGTTACAACTGGCCAAAAACATATACTAAATTTCCCATTTAAGAGAAGTGAAAATGCAAATCCCAAAGTAAGTGTTAAAAGCTGCCCAGCAGGACGTGAGAGTTATTTCATGTTGGGTAATGGTTTATACAAGCTCTGAATATTCGTATTAAAATGTGTTTGTGAGTTTAAAACTTAATTGTATTTATATTTGTTTGTACGTTTCTAATTATGAAATACAGTTATTCTTAGGCTTACGTATTTTCATACTTAAGATTATCAAAATTTTTAAATCTTTTTTGTTCACTAATAATTAATTCAAGTACTAAATAGTTAATTCAAGCCTTATTATTTAATCAAACTTGGTGAAAACCATCGATGCATAATAATCTACGGAATGTTTCCGTTACAAATATAATTTGAGTGTTAGCATTACTATACTGGATGGCTGAAAAGTAACCCCCATAACTTTTAACCAATTATTGAGATATTTGAAATATTTTGTGGCAACCTTATTAGTTATGAGGGGCTACAACAATGATGGTTAATTTTAATAACTTAAGCCATAGGGGTAGAGGTTAGCTAAAAGATTTCCAAAAGGAAGTATAGTTGAGTTTTGTATCATTTGACAGGTCTTGACGAAACTAAAGAATTGACATAAGAAAATAAAAATCGGACCACTAATAAATAAAACGACAGCTAAAAATTACCTTTAATCGTCTTAAAAAGCATTGTAACCGTAAAAGCATTTTTGCCATACAAATATTATTGTCTAAGTTTATTTTATTAACTTACAATTTTTATCAAGGCAAATCTTTTTAGTTAATTCCATTGTCAATAACATCTACGTGGTTAGTAACAGTGCCTGAAAGATCCCCAACTCCCCATAATTGTTGTAATCAACAATCTCTGCTCGTTTTAGGGTGCTATTTCGTTATAATTTATGTAATTTGTTTAGTTTCATCAATACCTGTAAAATTATACCAAACTCGACTGTACTTCCTGTTTGACAATTTTGAACAAAACCCTACCCCTAGGGTAACATTTTCAAAATCAACCATTTTTATTGACGCCCCTCCTATATCTAAGACGTATGCCACAAACCGATTTCAAATTGTTAAAATGTCAAGGGGAGATGCAAGTTAATTTTCAGCCACCCTGTTCAATGTGCATGTTAAGTTATATCTTTGTATCCAATAGTCAATGGTTTTATCAAACAAAAAACCATTCAGCATTGCCAATATATAACGTACATGGAATGAAATAATTACTGCTGTTTATTTATACAAACAATTTATAATATAAAAACAAATTCCCTAGTTGATCTAGATAACTTAAGTCTATAATTCTAAACCTGTCATTTTCAACATTATCTTAGACTAATATTACATTTCCGTCTTTATTTTTTTGACTGAGATAGTTTGTTTGACAAAAATATATTATAGCTTACAAGTTATCCGTTTACAATCAGTTTGACTAGGTTAAAAAGTTGAATTATAAGAAATTTGAAATCAACATGTTGGTGACTCAGTCCAACCACGTCCATTATGATTTACAACTGAAGACGGCCTTAACAAGGCCGTGGAAATGTTTAGTTTGATCAATAGTCAAATGTATAAAAAAATCTCCGAACGACTACAACCTTGGTTTGCGTTTAGATCACGTGGGATTGGTTGGTTTTGGGGGTCTGGGAGGTGGAGGGGGAGGCATAGTGGCCTGGAACGCCTTAAACTCCGGACTATTGTAATAGGCATCCAACCCAGCTTTGGGGAATAGGTAATACTCCTGCAACGGACACTCCATGTAGGTGTAATCCTCCGAAATAAACTTCCTCTGTTTGCCGTACTCTATGAGCTTCGTCCCCAAGTCAACCATCTGTGGGGATGGGTCTTTGTCTGGAACATTGTTAAACATTGAAACTGTTTATTTCATAGGTTTGATAATTTGATAATTATTTAATTTTACAGCCTATTTTGGGAGAATATGTATTCTTGTAGGGATTGTACAGTAATGTTTGAATTTGTAGGCTACGAGAGATGTATGAATACAACGAAGTTCATCACTAATGTCTATTCCTACTCTCTAAATTTACTGTACCGAACTAACTGGGCCATACTTGTTTGTTATTATTATGTAATACGAGTTTTTTTTACTCCAGACTACAAATAGTCAATTTGCATATTAGTTTGTATGGTTTTGTTTACGAGCAATCTATAGTATACAGGGTTAGTAAAAAGTGTGGAGACCCCCTGTTATTTTTTTAACGGCCCATACTAGAAAAACTAAACTCGGCACATCTTTATGACATCTTATGAAGTACTTTTTGGGCATAACCGTCACTTGGTGTACATCCCCAAAACGGGGATTTTGGGGGAAACTGAATAATTTCAAATACAAAGACCCATCGAGTCACCCCTCATTTTAAAGGTCCTGGTAAAAGAAGACCAACAACGCAAACTAGAGGTCTTTATCTCGATCCATTAAAAAATGGCAGCCAATTGAAATTCTCAGAAGTTAAATATAACTTACAGTTTTCCAAGTCTGGAGACCCCCTGTAAATTTTGTGGTGGCTCACACTAGGAAAACTAAACTCTACATACCTTTTTGGCATGTTATGAAGTACTTTTTAAGCCTAATATCCACTTTCTTACCAAACCCAAAATGGGGGATTTGGGGGGAGACTCAAAAGTTTTAAATGATAAGCCCCATCAAGTGACCCCTCATTTTAAAGGTCCTGGTAAAAGAAAACTAACAACGCAAACTAGAGGTTTCTATCTCAATCCAGTAAAAAATGGAAGCTGATTGAAATCTTTAGAAATCGGTAATAGCTTGTAATTTTATATTCAATCGGCTGCCATATTTTACTGTGTTAAGATAGAGACCTATAGTTTGCGTTGTTAGTTTTCTTTTATCATGACCTTCAAAATGAGGGGTCACTCGATGGGTCTTTGTGTTTGAAATTTTTGAGTTTCCCCCAAAATCCCCCATTTGGGGATGAACACCAAGTGTCGGTTATGCCCAAAAAGTACTTCATAACATGCCATAATGATGTGCCGAGTTTAGTTTTTCTAGTATGGGCCGTTAAAAAAATAACAGGGGGTCTCCACACTTTTTACTAACCCTGTATAGGCCTAATCATATTGTAAATTTCATATGCATTACATTTGGGGAACAGTAAGACTGAATCTTATAAATGCACGTTACATTGATGCTTTAATTATTATGGATCGCAAATGGAATTTCTAGTTTAAATTGATTATCAACAGGAATTGCTTCGGAATGCAGAGTTTTGCCTCGAAAATGTTTGATAATTTAAAATCCTATATTTTTTAAAAATAGCTCTATAGCAGATTTGTGGAATTTAAGCTGTTACAGTTTTCCAATAAAGTGTGAAGTGGGTTATCTACATTAAACAACATAACACTCCTAATATGCGAAATAAAAATTGGAATCACAACGTCCTTACGAGCCTTCTGCGCGCCTCTTAATAAAAAGTGTACACAATTTTCTTAAGTAATTCATCCTTAGTGGACGATTATGATGAGATAACCTATAGCTACAGCCTTACCTTTGAAGTATCCGAGATATGCTATTTGTAATGTCTCTTGCATGGCTTCATTGCCAAAGTTTATATATTTATTTAGCCACCCCCTTCCCTCATAGATATTCCCGTCTCCAGTTATAATGAAACTGCAAAGTAATAGTGCACCATTAAGTTTTTTTCTCAAGGTCACAGCATGGATAAGTATTTTTAGTTGTTACAGATTGCTTCTTTATTCTACTTATTACAGCTCTTAACTACTTCGTTTTACGTCGAGTCGTTGTCTATCACTGACAGTTTATGTTTGTGGAGAGGAGGTGAAAATGCATTTATGCACACTGAGATGCTCATTGGCCTCTCAGTAGTGCCGGACTCCCACGGGCTCAATGTCCCCGGACTACCGGCTAAAAAAATCCCCTCATCTTCTAGGAAACTAGCCTGGAACTGTTTGGCACATTACTTCGGGCTAGACCTTTTAAACTATGCCACTAGAGTTTAGTTTTAGAGCCACTCCTCCGAAGGCCGATCAAGATCGACCTTCTTATCCCGAAGTATGGCCTCGGTTTGAAAAATGATAAGATATTTACAAGAAATGTTGATTATATCGGACCGTTATGTAAATCGTGAGTATTTTCATAATCATTCAGTCGACTCTTTTAAAGTCATCGGAAATTATGACTGTTATTATTTAAAAAAAAAACTTTTAATACTTCGCAATTGCTCGAATTCGAGCAATAGGTACACTAGTTGCTTTTAAATCCATTCAGCTATAACATTCCCAAGTTATACATAAACACGAGAGCGATCTGGTCTAGAGGTAACGCGTGAGATTAAAATCCCTGAGGTACTGGGTTCAAATCCCGCCAATCGCCGATGGGTTTAACATAAAGTGATAATGCTGCAATCCTCTAGGCATAACCTGAAGTGCAGGGAAGTGAGGTAAAGTGGAAACATTCAATGGCACACTTAAGTGGTGTCTAGCACTAGTGCTAGTGTCTAGGGCAAAGTCAAACACCACCCCTTGCCCGCACGTACTACACCGCTCATGGTGGTGACCCTGTACCTTGTGTGATAGAATATTTCCGCACAGTGCTAACTGGTTGGGCTCCTTCCCAACAAGTCACAAGTAAATTTCTGACACAACAGAAAGCTAGAAGAAAGCAGAATTTGCTAGAACAGAAAGCGCACGGTCGTCCCATAAAGTTTATTCTGTACCTTATTTCTCTGTTACTTAATTAATGTAAAAATAGTCCTGGGCAAACATGCTTAAGGTTTAGGTGGGTCATAAAAGAGTTGATCTTTCACAGTCATATACATACTTGAACGGAATTTCAGGCCACCCCTTGAACACTACGTTTCTCTTCTGCAACTCCTGCACATGTACGACGCAATCCTCCATGTTACTACATTCTGGACTCTCAGAAGACACAAAGCAGATCTTCTTGTGAGGTTCCGCCATCTCATTCAGCTTCAACTCATTAGGCTGGACGCCAAACCAATATCTTCGTCTGATCAGAGGTATGGTGATGTCACACGAAGGGTATTCCCTGTAGTTATCCTGTGGATTTAACTTGGTTGTTTTCTTTTTTGTCCTCTCATAGCCTGAAGCCTGAAACAAGATAACCGATGATGTAATCTTGTAAATTAAAGTAATGCAGTAACTGATGGAAAATTGTGATAGGTTGGATGCTTGATAACTTTTACGAATGTGACATTGTGTAGAAAACGTTTGTGGACATTTAACTATTAAAAATTTATCACAGTAAGCCAGAGGTAAAAAAAACTAGCCTTAGCTTTAATTTTTTTATAAGTCATAAACATCAAAATAAAATACAATTTTATACCAGAAATGCTGTATGTTAAAGCCAAATATTTCTTTTGAGTTTTACTGTTGGTGCATCTATAGCTAATAATATGAAATCATTACAAATTTGTATCGATAAACATGATTCTAGAAGGAAAATAGAAGCAAGCAAATTTCCTTCTTCTTCAAATTAAAGCGATGGGGGAAAAATAAAAATAATTGATGACTACTAGATAGATACAAATTATAAATTTACAAGTACAGCATTAAAATAGTATCCAACCTATCTATGGTGAAATGCACTCACCATTTTTGCAAATGATCAGTCGTGGTTTGAAGTTTGTTTCTAAATTTATAACGATAGTTTCGTCGTATAAGGTCGTAAAACAGAATTCCGTATGCTAGTGCTATGTTCCATATGTAGTGTGTATAATGTAATTACATGAATGTTATAGAAAAGCTGAAATCACAGTATAACAGATGTACAGTATAAGATAACTTTACAAAGTTCGTATATTCAAATCGGTTATTTAGTAACTAACTACTTAACACTGTGTTAATAGATAAACACATTGTTTATCTTATGATGAACTATTAACGCTAAGACAGCCAATGATAATGGAAGAACAGTTGTGTATGTACTCTGATAAGTATGTTGTTGCATTATTGTTGACTCTTAATTTAAAATGCAATTTAAGCTTCTTGGCCCCGTTGCAAGGTGCTGGTATAGCGGTTAGTTTGAAATATATTTCCTTGGATGGTAAACATTGAGTTATTTTTGTCTGATCCAAAATAGTAATGCAAATATTTTGCTTTGGGTATATTCATCCAAGGATATAACGATATACATCCCTGCCTAAAATGAATTAAACTATTGAAATAGTTCTAAAAGAAACCTAGAATCAGATTACAATTTTACTAACATTCCACAGATTATAACGAGTGTTGATGAATTGTTAGTTTAAATTGTACAAAACTATGCTGGAATGATGTATCATCAAGGTAAAAGAAATAAACTCATACAATTACACTTAAATTTATACATAACAGACTTCTAATGCATTGGACTGGACCAAAATAAACTTTGTTTTCTAAAGTTATTCAAGTATATGAAAGGATTTAACAGGATCAACTAAAAGTGGATTCATCAGTAAGTTCCCGATGTGGCCTTATAATCCTCCATTTTGTCTCTAAGCTCTTAATACTGCAGTCCCAGGAAAGTAATATCTAGATTAATTTTTATTACTTAAACAAATCATAATTTGTTCATAGAGTATTCAGAGTGTAAAATTGTAGTACGTAACAATATGAACAAGATAATATGCAACTTAGTCACGTGTTAAGTACTTGAACTATTAATTTTTTAACCGTAATTTGTTATATTTATTTGTTAAAGTTTTTTAAATCTGTGATAAAAAAATGTTAAAAAAATACAACACTGTTTCAATTTAATTTGAGAAAGTATATCCAAATAAGGGAAACTAAACTAAACTGTTGAGAAACTTTGTTACTTTAGGCAATTCAATTCTCAAAGAGTACTTCGGTTTACGCAAATATTACGTATATAAAATGTCAAATTTTAATGAATGCCTCACTTTCAAATATATCAGATCCATTTAGTAATTTAAATACTACGTTTAAGGATTAATAAATTATACACATCCAGTTGAAGAAACATGTCTATAATTAAAAATGTACAAGGAACGTATTACCACTGTTCTTAAACTTAATTGATTTCAAGTAAGTTAATACGATCTGTTTAATAGTCTTCATCTGAAGCGAATGATACAATCACATTTCTAGCATCTTCATAGTTAAATCATTTTAAAGTTCACAAACGCGTTTAATCTATAATTTATTGACAATTACATGTACAGTTGACAGTTTGACTTTCATCAATACTTTGCAAGTTACTAATCTCCTTCCAAGATTGGTGTAAAGTCATTCAGGTTGAGCACTTTTGGACAGGGTTGAATGTAATTTTCCTCTAAAGCATAGTCTATCAGTAACTTCACTGTTTCAAGCAAGTAATCAGGAAGTTCATCATCTGAAAATAAAATCTGATAAACAATATCCAAAGCCGGCCTATACTGTGTATGCTGGAACCTGTCTCCTGAGTCCTGACTATCAGTCTACTAGAGGACTGTCCAATGGTTTCATGGCCCTGAGCTCCTTGGTTACGGAGAGGCAGGATACAACATTTACCTTACAGACTTCTATCCTACATTCCACATATCCCATTGACTAAGTGAAAATTTGGTTACTTAATAACCTCAAAGATTACTTAACTGTCTTGAACATAGTCATAGGCTGAAGTAAAATTAAACTGTATGAACAAGAAGATCAGAAATGAATAGGTGTATACCTAATCGGGTGAAGAAAGAATGTGGTTATATAAAAATCTCGTTAATTTTTAGCCAGCTAATGCAGTCTTAGTTCTTCATTTAATTAGTAATAAAAGTATAGGTAATAGTAATACCAAAGATTACATATTACAAGTACTTTAGTATGTTGTAAAATTTCAAGTAAAAACAACGTCAATAAAAATAATATTGGTAAAGGATTTCACTTATTTTCAACAAAAAACAATATTTTCAATTATAAACATCAGCTTAATGGATCTCAAATTGCGTGATAATACTGAAAGTTTATAAACGTCTATGTAATACATACGTGATTTGAAATTTCCTATGTACCCAATATCAATCGCCTTTCCCTTCATCTTTTTATTGATCTTGTCTAAACGATCTGCTTCCAAATGCCATCCTCTTCCTTCGTAAACGTTGCCATCCCCTCCAACCAAAAAGCTAAATAAAAGATTATATCCTATAAAATATAAAATAGCTCATTGATTTAATTGTTAAATAACGTTTTAAAATGACAAATTCTCATTTCACACCAGTTGACATTTTAACTGGAAAAATAAGTGTATTTAAATGTTAAAATATGCAAAAAGAATAGTTTTACTTAAATAATGGCAAATAAATACTAGAGACTTAGTCATATCATAGCACAATTATTGTAACACTAAACAATCATGAAGCAAACTGCGTGTTAAAATGAAATACGAACGGGTTCGCAAATTTGAGATGTCCCAAATAATTTAAAAACTATGCAGTAAACAGTTTTTTCTACAGTCACCTGACAAAGTGGGCTTCCTTGCACTGATTATAGTACAGAAAGCTGCTAATTGTTGCATTAACTTTCTTTTGCCATACTCCAGTATTCTAAACAAGCAACATATAACAGCGTGCTTTTATTATGCACGTAATCCGTATACGCTTGAAAATAAGCTGGCAATACGTCTTAAAGATACTACGACTACGATCATCTGTTGCAGTGTTTCCCATTTCGTTCAACGTTTAGATTTAACCTAATAACCTAACATAAAACGTGTAGGAAAAATATAATGCGTAAAACGAGTACAAAGGGTCTTTGCTGCACTCGAGAAACTTTCCACATTCGCCTGTGCGGCTCGTGCGTAAAGATTTCTCTCATGTGCAACAAAGTGCCACTTCTCACACTAGTTACACAAATAACTATTTCAGTTTTCAAAAGTTTAAGTTACGGTACCGTTTTGTAATAGATAAAAACCACCAAACTCTTTACTTGGCTGAATTTTTATTAACATTTCTATTTTACACCAATTGCTTTAAAATGTAATTGAAATAATCTTTTACCAGCCCGTAACCGAAAACTCTACCAATATTACTTTGACATTTCTCATTACCCTTGACTATTGATATAAATATATAACTTATAATAAATCTTTGCTAAAGCTTAAGCCGGTTTAAAAATACAAATTGTATTACAGTACAATTAAGCTACGGATAGAGTGAACTGATGACAATACTTTTACTTCTGTCAAATATAAAAACTTTTCAACCGAGCCAAATTGAAAAAAACCGCATATTGTAAACTAAAAAATCTTTTAAGCATCATAGTACTATGAATAAAAGATGTAAATAAAACAAAAATTGACTACAACTTGTCATTATAGATGGTATGCCCGTTTAATCACTAACTATTATTACTATTTCTTAATGTTGAGTATACAAAAGTCAAAGATTACAACTTACTTGAAGGGCTGGTCAGCGTAATTGTTGTCAATGTATTTCTGTTGGAACTCTTGTAAGATTGTTCTGCATTTGTAATCCAATCTGCAGCCGCTAGTGCATGTTATCCCGTACCTAATGTACTCCACAGGTAGTTTAAGTTTGGTCACTTGCCCGTTGATTGGCTGTGCTTCCCATTCATCTCTGGGTATTATATTTACAGTGGCCTTTGTTGGCTTTTTACTCTTGGTTTTCTTATGGACTCCACCCATGATCCTAAAGAAATGCAATGGTAGGCCTAACAAATATTTGAAATAAATTAGGTTTGTTTGAAATTTGAACTGGTCTATTGCAAAAATATTGAGGATGATCAGGTATTTATTCTCACTTTTTGCTTTGTAAATTAACATATCTTGTTTTTATGCAATTTAAAAAATATATGTCATACAACATTTTTCTTTATTAAAAGAAGTTCGAAAGCTAAAAAATACATCATCTGAGACCCATACATAACGGAGAGGTTAAAGTTCCGTAATAATTATGTTCCAATTTAAACAGGGTTGATTTTAATTTTTGTAACGCCATTAAATTATAATCCAATTCTTTGAGAATTTGTTATTTCTCGACAAACTTTCTGATACAATTGTGTTGACCTAAGTATGTTTTTTTCTAAACTCTTAATCACCCTTTTAGGCACATTTAATTAACATAAGCACCTTAAGACATAAAGGGGAGAGCAGACAGTTTTAGAAGAAAGTTTTATTTTAATTTTATATTTTAACATTTGTTTGGGTAAAATATAGTATTATATGTGTTTCAAAGAATGTATATATGTTAAAAGATATGCAAATCTTTGTATCGTAAAATGATATTTTAATTAGTAAAACTTACTGAAAGTATTGTGTAGGTTAAGAGAATCATGTGCGTTTAAGATTATGGGGCACATTCATCAAGATATCTTTCACATATTTTAAGACAATCCAACACTCAGGTTAAGAAAAACAAATCTTTCACCCTTTAATCAACAGTTCTATAGTACATGTTTTGATGATTACTGTTAATAAATCGACTTAATGCTAGCATTGAATTTAGATAATGAATTAGGTATTGCTATCTAAATGGCCCAGTGGTTTACTCCCGTTTTTTTATTCAAGTAAAACAGTAGGTCAAGCAAAGAGTGTGTTACCTATGCAGTATTTTTTGTGTGGATTTTTATACAACGATAGGTGATTTTTTACGCTAGACTCTAGCCCGGGATTGTTTTTCACATTCATTTTTCATTTTCACATTCATTTTTCACATAAACTTACTTCAGGCTAGGGCTAGGCATTAGGGTTGCAGCATTATGACTTTGATAAAACAATCGGTGATTGGTGGGATTAGAACCCGGTACCTCGAGGACCGAAGTACCATGCTGTACCACTAGACAAGCCCTCCCTAGATGATAGGTGATGGAAACATAAAATATAATATAGTTTACAAAATGATTCTCTATTAGTTTGTCATTATCATAAAGATGGTTTATGAGAAATAAAACATTATTTATTCAGCAGCACAACGTGACACCACTCAGCTAAAAATATTTTTTGTTTTATTGATAGGCTAACACCTTAAAAGTGGAATTTCAATGCCTAGGACAAGGTAATGAATGTGTTTAAAGTTGAAGATGGTAGTCTCCTAATAAGAAATAAAAAATCTATCAAAGCGAAATTGTTGAGTTCACTAAGGTAACTAACACATAATTCAAAGTAATGTACACTAAAACAGGTTTTATTTATATACCTAAATCACTACTTAATATGTATATATATTAACCATATTCAACTTCAAATTGATTCGGCGTTTAAGTGAAAACCACAACAAATTAGTTACTTTCTAAACCGGTTAATATTTCAAAATCTAGAAAGCTGCAGACATCTAGAAACTTCATAAGGGCTTAATCCATATAAATTAGAAATATTTGAGTAGTAGACCTAATATATTCGTATTACTCTGTTATATTTCTTCTTGATTGTTGTTAAATTCAAATTCATTTGGTTCAACATTTTCTGTGAAAAAAACAACCTTATAACTTTCATCCCTATACTCATCCCTAAAACTTGTAAACAAAACTTGCAAAGTAAACTAATTCTATATGACTACATATACTTAAGCGCGGTCATGGACTTATATTTGGGGGGGGGCGGGGGTATGGAATACCCCCCCCCCAGCAAAGAGGGAGGTGGCGGGAAAATGTTAAAATTAAGTGTTTTAATGAACGATTTGAAGCTGTTTTGAGACAAACAAAATTAAATTGACCTAAACAATTTAGTGTACAAGCTTTCCAGTTTATTTCAAGAAATTTTTAAAATAAACATGAATGCAGTTTTTGAACGATTGAGTATCATATGCACTATATTGCACTTACTATATTGCCAATGCAAAGTTTTAAGTGAACAACTAACATGCTAAATGAAAACAACACAATGATATAAGTCGATGAATAGGGATGGACATTTAGACACATTTTATTCGATTAGACAAACACTTATTTATATAAAATTATAAAAAATCCCGACACATTAAAGATATATCCTACTCTAACGAAATATATTTAGGAATAAAGTATAGTGTACAGTATACTCATGCAACAAATTTCCTTTCCTAAAAAATGAAATTTAACGCGTCTGATCTTCGAAGTAACAATAGTCTCTGAAATCATTCAGCGTTTCCACTCTTGGGAATTCCTTTATAAGCTTTAGATCTATACCAAGTAATACTAAGTTTGCAGCAACTTCAAACATCTCGTTAGTAGGTGAACTATCTGAAACAACAAACACTTTGTAATAAACTTAAACTAAAGAAGCAAAAGAGGAATTGGTGAATTTAAAGTAGCAATATTTCTGTAGTTGATTTGAAGTGATTGGAAATTAGCTTTATTAAAATTTACCCAAACTAATAGCAACATGACAATTTGGCAACAGAAAATGATAAAATGAGAATACCTATTATTATTAAAACTTCCATTACTTTTATAACATTTATGTTGTTTATTTTTTGCCAATATTTCTTACATTGCTATATATCTAGTGGAAGTAAAACAAAAACTATATAAACAATTCCGTACCTTTATTTAATTCAGTGGCCACATATGAAACATATTTATTAACATTTTACAAGACAAATTATCTAATCAATGTTATACTAGGTATTTTATTTTAGAGTCTTCCTAGCTACATGTAAGTAACCCACCCCAAATTCTCCGGTAAACCTAGATGTAATTTCACAAACTCCTCTGGCGGAACTTACTTGAGAATTGTCCCATGAAAGTAATATCCAAGCATTTCCTCCTTAACTCTTTATAGCTGCGATGTTTTTCTACCTCCAAATACCACCCTCTGCCCTCGTACACCCGTCCATCTTTGCCGATCAGGAAACTGGGACAGGTTAAACTCATCAGAAACACCATATCAACAAGTCGTCACTAGTCTGCATTTAGTTTAGAATGTATAATACAAGCTTAAAATCAAATTTGAATTTTAAAATCTCTTTATATGAAGTGATAAGGTATTCTTTACAACCTCCGGTCATGCTTTATGCTACTTTTAAATTAATTTATTTTGTATTACTAAGTTGTAAAATCGTAACTCTTGGGACATGTCAATTGGCCATGAGCTATTAATTCCCTAAACATGTAGACTGATAAAAAACAGACTCTTTGATGGAATGAAATTGTCAGAAAATTTCTTTCAACACGTAAACATCTCGTATACTATTATTTACCTAAATGACTCATATTGTTACTGTAACGAAGTCATTCAAAATTAATTCAATTTCCTACTATATGTCATCAGAAGCATACTGAGTTCAATTACTGCGAAATCATCAGAAGTTTATGGAAAACTATATTAATAGAATAAGTTATTACTTGTAGGGTAGATCTGGGTACTCTTCATTCATCAAGTCTATCTGGAAGGTTTTCAAATCTTTAGAGCAGCTTTCCAAACTCAAGCAGTTGTTCTCTTCAGTTTTAGTGAACGAATATCTAATGTATTTGACTGGTGTCTTTAACAGTTTCAGGGTTTTAGTTGGGGGGAGAGCACCCCACTCTTCTCTCGTGACTATTTCGACATTAATTTCAATTTTCTTATTTTTGGGTTTTCCCATTCCCCTTCAAGGAGCAGCATTTACACTGAACCTGCGAATGTGTGTTATATATAGCTATAGGTACATTTTGAAAGAACATATTACAGAAGATTGTATCATAAACGTAATTATAAAAACAATTGGAAATAAATAATATAGATGCAAGCTAAAAAAGGTAAATTACCATCTACATGATAAGAAGCATTTTTAATAAAGTGTTGTACAATTTTTCAACATGAAATTATTAAAAAAATATTACTATTTGGGTGAATCGTAAGTACAAGAACAAGAATAAAACATAACTAAGACTTAGGTATGTAAGAAAAAGTCAAGTAGGTTGCCATACATTTCTTTCATGGCCCAATACAAATTTAAACACTCTTGCTTATGAGTAGAGCTACAGCCCTGTCGAGTTCATAACTCAAAAAGAAAGCATAAAACAAAATTCAAGGGTGTTTCATTGTCAACAAAATTAATTTCTTCTAGCGTACAAATTTGATTATTTCGATAGCCATACAATATCAAATGGGTCTTTGACTATGCTCATTTATTGGAAAAATTCATGTAAATAATATTTAGTGGCAACATTTAGTTTCCATTTTAGTATAAAAATGAAACTATTGGCTTCACCTAAAACCAACTACTGACTAACTATTGACTAAACTATTGACTATTGACCTTTTACAAATCTGATAATTCCTATCTCCTAGGTAATTCTTATATACAGGGTGTCCCGGAACTCTCAACCAATATTTTAGGGCATTGTTCCTGGGTAGTTAACATACCTAAATATCATATTTAAATTGTCCGGAAGTCCTTAGTTACTCACTCAGCCACCATTTTGTTTTTTTAAGTTATTAATTTTTTTTTTAGGAATGGTTAAACCTAGACAAATCTACCAAAAAATTATGACGATTTTTAAAATTCATAAAACAAAATGGCGGCCATTTTAAATTTTGTTTCTTAAATAACTCGAAAACCGTTGATTTTACAAACATTTTACAGAACTAACTTTTTTAAGGCAATTTTATTACAAATCGATTGACACCTTAATGTTGAAGATTAGACAATTAACTGAGATATGGTAGTTTTAGTGATACGTGACCGCTTTCAGCATGCGCTGCAACTAACCTTCAGCGGTTACGTATCACTAAAACTACCATATCTCAGTTAATACTTGTCCAATCTTCAAAATTAAGGTGTCAATCGATTTAAAATAAAATTGCCTTAAAAAAGTTAGTTCTGTAAAATGTTTGTAAAATCAACGGTTTTCGAGTTATTTAAGAAACAAAATTTAAAATGGCCGCCATTTTGTTTTATGAATTTTAAAAATCGTCATAATGTTTTGGTAGATTTGTCTAGGTTTAACCATTCCTTAAAAAAAATTAATAACTTAAAAAAACAAAATGGCGGCTGTGTGAGTAACTAAGGACTTCCGGACAATTTAAATGTGATATTTAGGTATGTTTTTTACCCAGGAGCAATACCCTAAAATATTAGTAGAGAGTTCCGGAACAACCTGTATATTTTGTTTATAGGGCACACGTCATATTAGGCTGAACACTACTAATGATCGTTGCGTGTCACCGAACTATCTTAGTTTGTCAAGTCTACAGTTAGGATGTAGTTCCTTTATAGTAACTATATAAATACTTACATTTTCACGTGGTTTCACCCCATAGTGTAAATATTTTTTGGAATTAGAATGCTATTTTAACCTTGCATAGCTTTTCAAAAATGATAAGGCAGACATATCACTCGATGTAAGTAATGTGAACGAAGTTATGAAACAATTGAAGATTGTATTGATAAGCCGATTAACTTTTAGTTAAAGTGAAATATTTTATATTCATGGTAAAGTTGAAGGGTACAGCTATTTTGGTGCCGTCGATGAAATAATGTGAGTAAAACTAATTTTATTAAAAGTTTTTGGTTTTTAGTGCTCTGTAGGTTTGGCGTTTTTAGGTCGAGTAAATTGCGTACTTTTAAACACAGTAATTATCAACATTAGGTCCAGTTTACTATTAAATTCAATATTTTAAATAGAATTTAGTTATGTAGAACACAAAAAAAATCCGTTAGTGTCTTAAATAGTTTTATAATTAAGATATGAGCTCCAATAAGTTTAAACGATTGAAAGAAAAGGGGATATTACATAGAACAATTGATGCAAAACGCACTTGACTTATTAAAAAACCCACTAATTGTGAAAAAAACAAGTCTCCGTTGATTGAAACAAAAGATCGCCCTTCTTGGAGTGACAGGTGCTAGTTAGTGCGCTCTTCGCCAACTCAAATTCGTCAAGAAAATCTCTGTCATCCCTGCTGGGGTGCGGTGACATCTGCAGAAGACGATCCTCTCTAATTGTCCTGGATAAAGTTACTTCTGGGGTTTGTGGTAAATAATTACTTTTATAAAATATCAGTCAGACAAACATCAAAGAAGATTATGTCTACTCCGTATTAGATTTTAATTTAAATGTTCCAAGTCATGCTTTGGTTTATAGTTATCGGATTTTTAAAGTTTTTCTGTGTATACTTGCCATGTTTTGATTCTTACAGATTTCGTAAAAGATACATGGTCAAAGTAACTAATGTTCAAAAATTGTAGGCGTATATTTTAAGAGATTTTAGCTATAATAAAACGAAAAATACAACGATCAACCCCTTCTCACTCATGGCTCAAAAGCTACAGACGAGGACTGTAGATATGTTCACCTCTTGACCAGTCCAAATAATTACGAAGGCGAAGATTTTGTTCTCTTTACATTGCCTGGACTATTGATTGATTATTTTTGATCTGTTTAAAGGCGCTATGTACAGCCTTGTCTTGCCGTTAAAAGAAATATGACAGAACCAAAATTATTCGCAATAAATAAAATCATTAACCTGTGGGTACTGAAGTTAGCATTCAATGTATGTACATATTTGGACCAGATGTAGCTAATTTTGGAAAATGACATAGTTGAATAAGATAATCGCATAATGTGGTGCAGTCTAAAATTATATGTTTTCAATTAGTTATTACTACTGTTAGTGACACATGCTTTAGCTTATAATAAATCTAAATTGTCTTTTTCATTTTGGCTTTGTCAAAAAGTTGTATTCACAGAAATCAGTAATTTACTTCAGTCCTCTCTGGCGGTGGCTAAATTAAACTGAAACTAGCTACATGTTTAACATGGGAATGCAATACCTAGCTCTACCTACAGTCAAAGATAAAATCAAAAGATACAAGTATAGCTATGCAAATATTTGTGGTATTGTCACACACATTCTTGTAGATTTACTATATTCTTCTCAACAACAATAACAAATCAATTACTTAATAACTCAATTACTCATGGTTTGTTTACATGAGTTAAGTTCCAACGTTCATCCTTAGAGGCAGTTATCAAGTTTCTATTGGGTAATGAGGCAACCAAGTTCGCAAACCCGCCAATAGTCGGCAATCAGCCCCAAAGCGATGGTGAGAATCAGTCGCTATTCAGAATCGTGGCTTTGGTCCCGTGAGATGAGGGAAGCTCGAATTGTCGAAGAACTTCACACAAATAACAACAATATCCGCTAACGATACACGGGGAAACACGGAACAAGTTGACAAACTCAATACTGCTTAACACGGTGACTAGAACCGTTTGCAAACGTATCGGAATTTAATGGACTACTCAGGTGTGCATACGATTAACTATTAATTTCATAATCAGGATTTTCTCATAAGCCAATTAAAATTGATAATAGTTAAAATTTTAGTAGCAAATGAATTATGTTACTTTTAGTTTTTACAATAAACCGGGAACAGAGAAAAACTGCTGCACTCTAACCAAAATTATTTGTAACATTGGGTTGTACGTGATAAGTAAAAGGGGGGACTCTAATTTGAAGGGAATGGGGAGCGAGCTGAAATATAGTGATGGACTTCGAACCCTGAGGTCCTGGATTTAAATCCCCCAATCTACAATGGATTTTACCTAATAATTCAACGACTCCTAGGCATAGTCTGAAGTAATGAAAATAATTATCTGTGGTTAGACCTGTTAAAAATATATAAAGGGAATCAAATTGCTATTCTTGTAGACCTTCTTTTGATTAAGTAGCTATACAATCTGCAATGCATAATAGTGCTAATGAGAAAACAAAACAATATGGAAAACATTTTTAAAACCGAGACAAATTTTGTAAAAATAATAATGGTATTATTTTTATAAAAGGTATTTTTATAATTTGGTTTAGATGTTTAGTGGTTTTGTTGATAATGCAGAGCCGGTAGCTAAATAGAATGCTTGTGACAGTTAGTTAAGTTTACGAACCACACGTTAATAAAGATTTCAGCTGATTTTACTGTTTGTAATACAACAAAACATTTAAATTAGTATTTTAGCGCTCCAATGTTAACATGTACCTTTACCAAAAACAGCATTAAGTAAATGCAACATCCAATGAATTGCAATACTCAGTTTTTGATACAATGACTTGTTTTTCAGTTTCAGTAATATCGTAGCCATAATGACGCAAGCGGTTCGAAATTAGACTGATGTTGAAAACTCTGAACGTCCCCAAACTAAAATTTGGTTGGTCGAAAGTAGTTACCACCATCAGACAAATCACCGATGTGTCATTAACTTGAATGGTCCTCAACAATCAAAGCATCCTATTGGCAATTTCGGATGACGTTAAGCTTAACTGCGAGATTCTGATGATTTCGGTTTGTTATTGAACAATAAAAGTTTACAGTTGTACTGGAAGTCAACTTCAATAAAAAAGAGTGCTTTATTTTTAAAGGTAACGGTAATCTGTTGTTGCACTTTGTTTGTACAAATTTGTTTGGAAGGGTTTAGCCAAATTTTGTTGAGGGACCTGAATTGCTATAAATGTATTTGTTGCATCTAATAATTTTCTTGGAAGGTATAGAGCAAAACGGGAAGTATACTGTTACTTTGTCCTTCTATTCGGATTGAGAAAGGTTTGTCAAAAAACATTTCTTTTATTTTGCATATGTAAGTTTTGTACGGACATAATTTGTCTTATTTCCAGTTGGTCAATCGGAGTTACCATTATTATATTGTGAAAGAATATAAGTCTAAATATCAGCATTTAAAATATGTTTTGTGTAGTCTCGTACACAATTTGGTGAGAGAGTTATAACAAATGTGGAACATAAATAAAAATTCATTATTTTTGCATTCGAATATTAAATTGTGGCCTATATAAACTTAAAAACGTATTGATGCTATCTAAGCCTCGAGGGACTATTAACATGTACAGTTTGATTTGAACTTTTTGATCAATTGAAACTAATTCAACCAAAACTTAAAAGTACTTTTAACCATCACCAAGTTGTATGGCTATAAACATAATTGGAGACAAGTACTCGTGTTGGTTTTAAGTTTGAATCGCTCCACAAACATCACTTTAAGGCGTTGTAACCACTCTAAACCGCTTAAAATAAGAGCATTCTCGTGTAACTCCTTTAAAAGCACTGGTCTATCACTTTGCCGAGCAAGTGTTCTGTCATTGTGGTTTTAGTATTTCAAAGTGGCTCTTTAGGAATGATAGACTACGGTGTTTAAGGAGACAAATCTTTTGAAATCCCTACGAAATTCCCCTTAATTTAATAAGTTATGAGGATATGTATTTGTTTGTACATGTTTCTTTCACATTATTAGATAAGAAAAATTAAAACATCGGTGTTTAGTGAAAACAAGGAACGCAGTCTTCAAATCAGTATCTAATTCAACAAAATCATTGTAACGCTTGATAAGTAAGGTTTCATAATCTAATCACGGCCAAACAATAAAAATATAACTTAAATAACTCTCATAAACTTAAAAATTAAAGTTAACTTTCAACTTGGAACTTATAAGATTCAGTCTTCAACACAAAAGAGAATCTAAGCTGCTTAGAGAACTGACAAGACAAAACCTCTTGTCACTTCACAACGTGATTAATTTAGATTGCTTCAGACCATTACTCAAAATCTCGGACATCTGTTAAGTTAGAACTTTGAATATGGATATAACTGGAAATTCTACACCTATATATACAGGGTGAATTTGGTGCAAACCTATTGTACCTGCAATACCATATAAAAAGAACCCACATCATAGTGTTGGAACCTGAATGGAAAATGTATTTTTGACAGTAGCTCATTCTGAGGTGGCTACTACTGTTAAATTTGAATTAAAGATTTTTTACATTAAGTTTTATAGATGAAATGCTTCCCTGGTGACCTAATTCTAATGGTTGTAATGATTGTGTTACTATAAACTTATGGCGATTGCATTGATCTGTCATAATATATCTTACGGGGTTTCATATATTAGCTTAGTTTAGAATGAACTTCATTTCAAAAGGTGATAATGAGTATGTGTCTAAATAATGCATTCTATAAATTCTAGCTGAAGTTAAAATCATCATTTAGTCGGACAAGTTAATATCTTGTGATAATCAAAACATACGTGTAAAGAGACTGTATTTAACAAATCTCATTGCTTTAACATCGTTAACTTTACTCTCTGGATTCATTACTTTAGTTACCCTTTTAAAAACTGTGGAAATTTCCGGATTTCAATTATGGAATTGAAGGCTGCATACAAATATGCTATTTCATTACAAAGCATGGAATTCAACGAACCTTTGCTCTACGTGCGCTTCTTTAGGTAACGAATGCAAAGATTACCGTCTGTGTGAACTGACTTCATCGTGTAGACGAGGCGCCGATTAT